AAAAACATTCATTTTCCTGTAGTCTGGTTCCCTGACTCCATTTAAGAAGAAACAGAGCAGTTTACATATATTGGGGAATTGTAAGGTCAGGGAACCAGTCTAGCTGGCTTGTACCCGTTCATAGGTGTGTAATCGATTGCAAACAAGTGCGATGGTCAACTGGGGCCAGTATTTGAAAAAAAAGCCAGTTTTTTCCAACGCTGATCGGCCGATCAGCGTTGGAAATTGATACAAAAATACCACTTTTCTTGAAAATGACAGTATACCAGGTGCCATGATTTTACAGGATGCTTTACACTGTCATTCACTAACAGTCCAGCAAGGTATTTCAAAATGATTTGGTAGTTTTATTTTTTGATGTTTGCAAATGTTGTATTTTCCCTTTAAGGCAATAAACACAATGTAATACAATGTAATACAATGTAATACAATGTAATACAATGTAACACAATATAGTAATACAATGTAATACAAGACAGAATGACTGTTCACTGGAATTCTTTTCATGAATAATAATCGGCATTTAAGAATGCTCTTTTTAGTAAACTAAATCACAGCGCTTACAGTATTATTATTATCCCTGATCATCGGGCCAATTAAACATTCTGATTACCATCTTAGCTCCCTGGGGATTATACAGCTCGATGCTGCCTGTTAGGCGCAAACAAGCTTATTCAACCACAATAACCATCTCTGCCCTCACAGGTACCCATTTACTCCTGGGTGGAGAGAAGCAATGAGTGACAAAGTGCCTTGCTCAAGGGCACACGCACCATGACCCCGGCTGGACTCCAACCCACAGCTTTACCCACAGACCACGAATCCAGTGCCCTTAACCACAAAGCCACAGCACTCCACAATCTGGTCTACACCATTACAGATTTAGCCCATACATTCAGTTCGTGGTAATCCTATACAATAGCACTGCCCGACTCACCAGTGACGGTCAGTAAGACACTTGGCCAGTCCTCTGGGACCAGCAATTAGGCTTAATCCCTGAATTTATGTCTGTTTTAGCTTAGAGAATCTTTCAGAAAATGCCCTCTTCTACTGACCTTTCCGTGGCTCTGAAAGTCGACAACTACCGTCCAGTTTCTGAGTGTCGCGGTGAAACCATAGTCCATATTCCGAGCATGCCAGATGTTCCCTTTGCTGTCTTGAGCTACAATACTGGTGCATCCTCTACACCAAAACCAACCAAAAAATAAACATTGTGACGCTAAGGCCAAGTAAAATACAAAAACATATTTGGTGTTCTGCCTTTTTGAAAAAAAAGAGGCCCTTTTTTCCCCCCTCCAAAATGACTGCCCGACCGGGCTATTTTTCAAGATGGCCGCAAGCTTTTTTTTAAAATGGCCGCCACTTGGACTCAGGAAATGACATACCAGCTTTATATGGGCTAGATGCAACAGACAAAGAGGCCAGAATGATGTCAATATTTAAAATTCATCATTTTTCGTTTTTTTTCCCACAAAAAATTTTTAAAAAGGAGGCAGCCTCCAAAAAGGAAGTGGGCGGGGACGCTAAACATATTTTTTTTATTTGGCCTAAAAACACTGACAATACGCTCTGTGCTTAGAGTCATGTGGGCTACAAATGGACATCAGGCCGAGTAAACACAAGATGCAGTTTCTCGCCCAACCTTTTTTTTTTAAAAATAAAGGAGGCGCGCGTTTTGTTTATTTGCTTCCCCCCCCCCCCAAGATGGCTAATTTTCCAAGATGGCGGAAGGATTCTTCAATTTTCTTGACTATTTTGCTGACAGAAAAAGATGTCCAAAGGAGCCATAACCCTTTCTACGTAATTCCAATCTTGTTGCAAACAAATGAAATATTGACAACATGTGCAAAACATATTTCAAATGTATGGTTAAATATTGGCCAAAAAAAGCAGACGGCCTGTAGAAGTGGATGCGGCTGGAAACAATAAACTAGTTTATTTTTCTACTTGGCCTTACATTTGGAAAATCACACTGCGCTGTAAACCATTTAGCCGCAAAAAGCGTCAATTCTCCCGCTTCCAACTTGCAACATCTGCGCTTGAGATCTGAATATAACAAATTACTTACCCTGAAAGAGTGATATCATATATAAGATTATACAGCACGATTTCTCCTACATCCATCTGAAAGTGCTTGGCGATACCACGGATCTCACCAGCATAAGGCGAAGGCAGATAATAGTCCAGCGCCCCCCCAATGATCTCAAGAAGTTGCAGTGTCTCTTTGTTCACCATTTTGCTGCAAAAGAAATTTGGAAGCAAAATCAAAACGAATCACACAATCACTGCAATATTTTTTTTGGGAAAGAGTTCCATACCTGGACATCACTTGACACCCTGTGCACAAACCCTATGAGACTGGTCTGAAAGTGTTTTCTCAGTAATACTTCAATATTTTCCATGCTAAATTTGACTTTTTGGACATATTATCACTTTCTGATGGCTGCTACTAGACTGATAGTGCCCTGGAACTATGGGTCTATGGTAGAGTGATAGGTCACTGAAGCGAAAAAATAGTGATGGCCATATGGGAATCTTTCCAATTATTCTGACAAAAACTATAAAAGGTCATAAGTTTAGCCAGCGTTCGAATCCAAGAGCTTTATAAGAAATCGCCCAAAGCCAATGATGAAACAGCGAATTAGAAAATGTGTTTAAAAATCTGGTTCCTGGATAGCATTTTGTGAGTTCTAGAACCATGAGGTGGGAGTCTGTGACACGTTGTATGGCTGCTATTCGCAAAGCGAAGTGAGCATAAATTTTGCACCGTAAGTCATTGCAAATACTTTTTGCAAAGTTGTGCTTTTTTTGGGGGGACTCGAGTCTTATTAGCCTAGGCTTCGCTCGAATCGAGTCGAGTCTTCTGATGAGGGACTCGAGTCGAGTCGAGTCATTTGCTCGCAGTGACTCGAGTCGAGTCGAGTCATTTGCTCGCAGTGACTCGAGTCAAGTCGAGTCATTTACCCTTAGGGACTCGAGTCAAGTCGAGTCACCAAAAATTGTGAATCGAGTCAGACTCAAGTCGAGTCATTGACTCGAGTCATTACAACTCTGATAAATAATTGTTAACACTTTAAATTAATAAACACTTTATTGTTGAACACATACGAACAAAAGGTCATTTCCTGAAATATTTTTAATCCTGAAGCAGTGAAGGCTGAACATTAAATGGGTAGTGCTAATAGAAAAAAACTCCCGCTTTCCTTTAATTATAATCCAAAAAATAAACTTCACATCTTTTTTAATAACAATTAACACGTATACATATCTTACTCCTAGAACTATGAGGCTCCACGTAGTGGAGCCTCATATATTTCTAGGAGTATACATATCTCGCTCGGATCATCACTCACGCGCGGTCGACTTACTCAAAAACTGCCGTGGCCATTTCTCGAAATTCACTGGCATTCCAGTGTTGCAAGACGGACTCCCATCGCTCTTCCTCGGGCAGATCGATGTTCATGGAATACCTGGGAGCTTTTTTGAGACCCTCATTCCAAGTTTGAGAGCCTAGGACCAGGGGAATTGCGAGGAAAGTGAAGAAAAGGCGCCACATTTTGAAGTACATCCGTGCGCGAAAACACGCTTAAGTACAATGTATGCTGCGTGCATGCAAGGGGTCAGCAACTCGACCGTTGAGACTACTCGACCGTTGAGACTACCCGAATGTCGACTGTCCGTGCATTAAGGTCGCCCGTTGAGACAAGATTTATTTGGTGATAGTAGTGGAGTTGTCTCAACGGTCGAGTTGTCTGACATTATGCCAGATCATCAGGTGCACAAGGTCAGGTGACAAAGTAATGTCATGTGGTTACCTCAATGTAAACACTTAAATGAAATGGGAGGGGGGGGGGGGGGGGGGGGGGGGGGGCTCGGCTGGGGGGGGGGGGGGGCTCGGGGGGGCTCAATATTTTTTAAAGACTGCCCTTTTCCATTCAAATGCCCTATTTTAAACAGCACTTACCCCACCCCACCCCAATATTTGTTAAAAGAGTGCCCTTCTTTTTGTCAACAAGTGCCCTTTCTTTCTGAGCAAAAATGCCTTAAAAAAGTTGTACCTCTTTTGGTGCCATATCAGCTGTATGGGTGCCTTTTAAAAATTTTGCACAGTATCGCCCTGAAAAGCACCATATATTGTCTCTTAGTGTCAGTGTGCGTAATCGTTGGTTTTGAACAGCGCCCTCATTGACAGAAATCCCGCCACAAAATTGACCTTGTTACGCCTCTGCCCCCCCCCCCCCCCAATGAAATACAATTCTCCTCACTATCCACGATAACATCAAACACAAACTGAAACAACGATATTCATAATTATAATTTATTATCTTGTAAAGGGCAAATTCTATAAAAATATATAAGGCCTTTCCACAAAAATTCTAAAATGTACTGAAAATAATAAATTAAACAAAAATAATCTGATCTTTTAAAAAAATGCCCTGAATTCCATTATAAAAATATAAGAAACTAAAAAACAGAGGTTAAGTAGGAACCTTATTTTAAACGAAAACCACTTACAAAAATAACCAGAAAATATAAATCACTACATAGAGATTCGATGAATACAAATAGTTTAAAAAAAATTACAGTGACCAACGAAATATTATTCAACTCTAACTCCCTTGGGTGATTTACTAGGAACCATTCTCATCCTTGCAAATCCCAAAACCATTTTGTAAACTGTGCACATAAACAGTTGGACTCTGTTTGAAGTATGCCTAATCCCACGTAACGTACTGTCAGTTTACTAGTGCAGTACTCATCCCAACAGATTCCAACAAACCCTGGTGTTGGGGTTTGGCTGGTTGGGGATCGTTGCCGGGGGTTAAAATATCTAATCAGAAAGCCATACAACCAACTTCGTCCCTAGTGCTAGTTGATTTCCGACCAAGTTTCCAATAATTAAAGCCCTGGATAGGAAACTTTCTTCCTGAATCTTGATTCGTTTCAAGTATCAACTCAGCATTAGAATTTATGAGTGAGTTTCAATTATATAAAACTGTCAATTCTTCTCCAAAAATCCATACAATCACAAATATAAACAAACAATATTCCAATGATAACAACCAAACTTATATTAGTATCATAATCAAATACCTGTAGATCCCAAAACAATAATTAAATCCACCAATGAACTTCTCAAAATAAATTGCCTGTTCGTGTTCGTGTCTTTAAATTCCAACGGTCCTTTTAAAATCATTACTTGCTTTCCAGTTTTAGTCACAATGTCGAAAGAAGGTGGCATAGCTTGATGGGTGGGCGGCACTCATAAGAGTGGTGTACACAGTCATTCTGAGGAAAGTTTAAAAAAAAAAGACGATTTTTTAAACAGAGTCATTGACTGGAGCGGGGTTTGAACCTGTGACCTCCGGATTGCCATTCCGGTGCTCTACCAACTGAGCTATCCAGCCCGTTTTGTCAACGCCTTTGTTCTAGGAGTTATAAACGCTAAACTATTTGCTGTGTTGCCATGGATCCTGTGCGAAGTCAGGATGCTAACAAGATCAGCAATGCTGCAAACCCGGGAAATAGCAAACGGGGATCACTCAGAGGGAATACGGCTTTTTATTAAAAATGTTCACATAAATGACAAAAGGGAAAGTATTTTAAATAATTTGTTTTGGATTGTTTAATTTATGCACAAACAAAATCCTGAATTTGTCGGACTGCAAGTGCTACGGCATGCGATTTACGTTCACGCATGTGTGTACTTATTCTACATTTTCCCCAAAGACAGAAACACAAAGGGAGAACAACAGATCCTTTCAGTCCTCGGGAGTTGGGTCTTTTGTTGGAAACAGTCCTCTGTAGTAGGTTTGTGTGCTTAGTCTATAGGAGAGTGTTATATTACAGGGACAAAGGAAAACACAAAGCATTGTCCTATGGAGTATAGTAAAAACAAGACTGTGTGAACTGAAGAGTGCAAGTGTATGAATACCGACCAAAACAGCGTGGACTGGCCTCCTATGGCGCAACTATAATTGCCTTTGGGATTTAAACCAGATAGTGTTACACTGGGCTCAGTCAAAGATAAACACCCACAATCCTGGTATAAAAAGGGCCTGGGCTTTTGAAAGGGCAAATCACCTCGTGGGAAAATATCTGTAACTACTCATTAAAAACTATTTAAATTACTTACGGGTTGCACACGAGAGGTAGAGAGAGTACCTTCAACATGGCTTCAAGATCGATGGCGTCTTGGCCAATTGCATTCATAGCCTTGTTTCCATGAGATCTGTGATCAAGACATCACACCTATTATTATTTGCTAGTGGCCATGAGTAAAGATCGTTCTTGAAGTAACCTTCCCTATTACAACCAAACCCCACAGAGATTCGTTCTGGATAACCGTTATTTGGTTTGAAAATAATTTGAATAACCGGATTTTGCAATCTCCGATTTTTCCCACCACTACCAGAAATTAACACAATTGGAAGGGTCTAGATGGGGTTACTGGTTAAAGCTATAGTCCATCATTTGCAGCTATCCGAAAAGTAACTGGCATAATTATTGTTGAAAAACAAACTTTATTGAAAGATAGTAAGTGGACTAAACTCCCTGTGAAATTATTCTTTCTGGGAAGCTGTCATTTTGAAGTAATCAACGAAAGAAGGCCTTTTCAACGGTGCGTCTTAAGATGCACCATAGGAAAATTTAAATTAGTACATGTAGTTTGTTTTGTTATTCGGCGAAGCGCGCACAAGCATTGGCACGACGCACACGCGGTTGCTATAATTCGTCGGATCAGTGCGCGACATCGCGTATAGCTGCAATTCAAAACAATTCAAAACATGATTCAGTAACTTTTGATTTGAAATTGAGATCCTAGAATGCTGTTTTTCTCGGAATATACAGCTGAAGCTTAGCTGAAACTTCATCAGGTTAGTTGTTCAGTATCCTTCATTAGATTTTGAACACTTTTGTTGCTTCAAACGAACAAAATGCACAAATTACAAATGATGGACTATATCTTTAAATACATTTGGACGTTTACTTTTAATCACCTACCTACGGTAATCCCATTTGGGTGGTGATTTCCAGTGATCATAGTTGGTCTCCAGTACAAACCATCTAGCAGCAAAAACAAGGACATGACACTCAAAACAAAGCAATATTTCACAATACAGGGTGAGTAAAAAAAACAAAACCCAAATGTCGGGACCATTGGTTTAGTGAAGTTCTGCAAGTAGCACTTTCCAATTCTATGATATGAAAGCCCGATTCATAAGCTTTCTTTTAGTACAAGAATCATTCAAATCACTCATGTACTTTTCAAGTTACGGTATTTTAAACACAAAGTTTTAAAAAGTTCTCTCCATGGATCACAAAAAGGTTTGCGTTCTTTCAGCAAAATGAAAACAACTCACACACATATGTGATTTGTGTTCGTTTCGCTGCAAGAACAGTTTGAACCCAGCTATCGCATGCATTACAAAGAATGCCACGTTGGTTGAATGTAACAGGACGAAAACAAGGAAATTTAACAGGCATACAAATGGGGCACAATCACATACAAGCTACGTTAACAAACAAAAGCAACGTAACAACCAAAATAAGAAAATGGAAAACACACACTCAGCAATAATAATGCAATGGGTGGAAATAAACATGTAACAAATGAGCTGATGACTTGAAATTGAATGAATGACATGACACCAAATCAGAGAAAAATATTATTAAAATTAAGTACAAGACTGAACACAAATCAATGAAGTACATGCAAATGAATTGTTTATGCAGGATGATAAGGCCCCCCCAAAAAAATATTCGGTCTCTGGTCAGACCAAAGTTCCGGAATTGACGCGGGGACACGGCTTTTTTTTTTTTTTCTTCAAGCTTGGATTGTACAGACAAGGTGGGGTACTATTTTGCTTTCTTGGTGTCCTCATGTACATTGGTGTCCTCCATAATTTGCCTTGGTGCTCTCGATAATTTGCCTTGGTGCAATTTCCCATTCCTTGGTCCTCTTTGGTAAAAAAAAATTGAGGAGGTGCGGCAATAGAGGGCGCTGTTGGAGCTACCTTGGAACATTTTGGAAAAAAAAAAAGATTGACGCGCATGATTAAATCGACGCGCGCGCTGACCAGAGACCAACTTATTTTTTTTGGGCCTAATACTTGGTACATAGTCGAGCAGGTGTTGGGGAAAGCTGATGGGATGTGCTTAAAATTAAGATCAAGGCTGAAAACAAATCAATGAAGTGAATGAACTGTTCATGCAGGATGATAATACTTGGTACATGGTCCAGCAGGTGTTGGTGGAAGCAGATGCGATATGGACGAACGAATCGTGCATCACAGGTTGTTGGACAATGAGGACATGGTTACCTTGCGATTGTTGTGCAGGAGGCAGATCACACGTCCATCTGTGGTCCAGGCGTTGATGGTCTTAGAACTCTGTTGACTGGTCTTGATAAGACAGCCATGCGGCCTGATGTGAGACTCTCGGTGATCGTAAGCCTTCAAGTAGTCGCTTTGAGCCGAAGACTCGCTCCTCTTTGCACAACTGACAAACTTGATGATGATTGGTCAAGATCGTCGATTTGCAGATGATGGCATGGGTGGCTTGTGCGTAAAGCGCTCGCCTCTCACCAAAGTGACCACGGTTCGAATCCTGACCGCGGATCGCATGTAGTAGAGTTGTGCGTTGGTTCTCTCCTGTGCCACGAGGGTTTTTCTCCGGGCCCTCCGGTTTTCCTCCCTCTAGAAAAATCAAACACTTTCGATCTCAGGCTGTGCTCCGTGGTCATATATGGGTCGATGTGGCCGGCAGCCATAGGCGCCTTTACGTGCCAGCGGCCCTACCACGTTGTAGCCGCGACCTTCGCAATTCAGCATACCAGCTGCGAGTAAGGATGATTAGCCTCCCAAATTATTATTATTATTATTATTATTATTATGAGTTGCCATCCTAGGGAGAAGGCTTGCCAATTTCATGAGTACGATCAATGTATGACTTCTGGAGATGACTACCTGGCTTGAGATGATTCAGGCGATCAAGTGCTGATAACTTCTCATTGGGCTTCTCGTCGAATCAAAGGCAGACTGTTAAGACGACTGTCCTTCTCAAGTTCATCTATTTTTTTTCTCGAGGTTATTGTTAATCTTTTTAAGAGAAGAGAATTCCTTCTCAAGCAATTTTATCCATCTGTAGAGACTCATATACATCTTGTTTGACTTCTGGAGAGATAGTAGTAGACAGCTTCGTCATAAAGATGTCGGATCGGACCAGCTTCTCAATGATGGTTGCCGTGGCCTCGTGGTTTGGAGCATTGACTTTGTGGTAATTCTGCAGGTTGTGGGTTCGAGTCCAGCCTGGGGTTATGGTGCGTGTGCCCTTGGGCAAGGCACTTTGTCACTTATTGCTTCTCCCCACCCAGGAGTAAATGGGTACCTGTGAGGGCAGAGATGGTTATTGTGACTGAATTAGCTTCCTTGCGCCTAACAGGCAGCATCGAGCTGTATACTCCGCAGGGAGCTGAGATGGTATTTGGAATATTTAATTTGCCCAATGGTCAGGGGTAATAATAATGTAATAGTTAAAGGAGCTATATAAAAACCGTTATTATTATTATTATTATTATAAAGTTTAGACTGGTGCTTTGCCAGCAAGACGCTTACCTGCCGCTTGAAAGGTCGAGACGCCAGACGTCCACAGCTGTTAGACGGGCTCTGGTGATGACAGCGCCCTCTGTTGACTTGACCCCACCAATGATATAATAGTTGGGTGCCGTCTCAGGGTGGTAGGCGAGGCGTTGCAATGCGCTGTCAAATGTCGCTGTGTCATTACGGGAAAGTGCCTGCATAAGAAAACACGACCAAACAACATGAATCAACAAGACCAGGCAAATTTGGTGTGCGGTGTCTATTTGTAGTCACTTGAGCCTCATTTTTGGGCCAATGTAAGGCTTAAAAAGCCAGAGTCCATCATTTGCAGCTATCCAAAAAGTAACTGGCGTAGTTATTGTTGAAAAACATACTTGGTTGAAAGACAGTAAGGGGACCAAACTCCCTGTGAAATTATTCTTTCTGGCAAGCTGTCATTTTGAAGAAATCAACAAGAGAACGGTGCTTCTTAAGAAGCACCGTAGGAAATTCAAATTAGTATTTGGTTTTGTTATTCGGCGAAGTGCGTGCAAGCATTGGCATGATGCACATGCGTACGTGGTTGCTGTAATTCGTCGGATCAGTGCGCGACATCGTGTAGCTGCAATGGGCCGAGTGAGAACGCGTATCGGACGCTGAATTCAGGCCCAATTCAAAACATGATTCAGCAACTTTTGATTTGAATCGAGATCCTAGAATGTTGTTTTTCTCGAAATATACAGCTTAAGCTGAGCTGAAACTTCATCAGGTTAGTTGTTCAGCACCCTTCTTTAGATCTTGAGCACTTTTGTTGCTTCAAACGAACAAAATGCACAAATGATGGACTATACCTTTAAGCAAGTCTAATTCACAAATTTATTTAAATCTTATTTTAACTCAGTAGCCCATTCAGTGGAATTACTAGTCTTCCATGGGGCCCTGAGTAAAGAGAAGACAATGTGAAGAAGTTTTATAACATGAGGGAGGATCAGTCCCAGAAGAATATTCTGGGAGAAACCCATGGAATCAGGCAGGAACTGAAACCCCAATCCACATATTGGCCCAAGCAGGAATCGAACCCGGGTCAACAGTGGTGGAAGGCGAGGAAAGTACAGCTACGCCAACCTGACTCCCAAATGACAGTCCATGAGCAGTGGGACAGATATCAAGAGGACTGGATTTTTGATGACTTTGCAATTGGAAACTAAGAAGACTTTTGATGAAGGAAAGAATTGTATTCAATCAAGTTGCTTTTCCAAAAATACACTTTTAGATGTCACATTTTTGTATCTTCTAGATAAAGTTAGGCGTATAACTATGAAGGGGTTACAATGTAAATGGCTAAATTAAGACAACTTTTTGTTTGTATCTGAAAAAGCCACAAAGGCTGTTTGCTTAAAGTGTAAATGTACTCACATCTCGAATCTGGAAAGAGGTGAAAACGGTCTTGTCGGAGATCAGGGCCTTCAAAATCTGAATCATGTCATCCAGGATTGTACCTTCATCTAACAAAGGGAATGTGGGTTTGAGATAGATTAAACAAAATATACTGTCAGCTGCAACAATTGTGATCATAGACAACCATTCTTAAAGTTTGCAAGACAAAAAATTGGCAGAATTATTTCTTCGCTTTTCCATTGAACATGTTATTCAATTTTTAATAATAAATTAAGGTCCGTAGAAAGAATACCCCTTACAATTAAAATCTATCTGGACTTTTCCATTTCACTCGGCTTCGCCATTCCACATTTGCGAACAGTATTTTTTTAAAAAAATTTTTTACGTAGCTCACCTCTCTCATTCAAAGACACAGTAAACGCATTTGGCCTTTGTCCAGTGAAAACCCCCACTTGCCCTATAAATGACGTAGCAGTGTACAGGGTCTGCAAAAAGGAACAAATCACGTGAAATCAAATAGAACAATACACTTTACCCCATACTGCCCCAAACTGCCCTTCTCACGTATCACTCCCTGTACCCCCGATACCGCCTGAGCACAGATGGTTTTATTTATTTTGTTTTTTTTAGAATCTTTTACATACTGTTCTCTCACACTCACCTTCCCGTGGCTCTGAAAATCGACAACTACCGTCCAGTTTCTGAGTGTCGCTGGAAAATAATAGTCCCAATTGCGAGCATGCCAGATGTTCCCTTTGCTGTCTTGAGCAACAATACTGGTGCATCCTCTACACAAAAACCAACAATTTTTTACAATTGTGACAATAAAAATGCAGTCAGTGACACTATATACACCCTTATATCCTGTGCAACCCTCGCAGCAGCCACGCGGTGATAAAATTCTCCACATTTTCCAAATATGGGCATAATTTTTTTTTTCAATGGGCCAATTAGGCCAAGCTTCCATGTGATTCTCACCCCTACTATACACCACAAGCTTGTAGACTCCCATTGGCCAGACCCTAACCACTGCAGAGTAAGGAGTGTTGAAAGACAGCAGCCCAAGATGGTGCCTAATACCTTTGTGTAGTAATTGGAGATCTTAGTGGCCAACCCCTAAGTGCCGCTGATCCCTTTGTGTCAACCCCTCGTGCCGCCCAGAGCCCAGACAGGTTATGAACAATCCCTGGCCATGTGAATGACCTACATCGTCTTGTGCATACGTGTACAGGCATTCCAGGGTTATTGACCTAAAAACACATGTGGTGATAAAATTCTCCACGTGGTTCCACCGCATAAATTTTTTTGGGGCTTGATCCACGAAGGGTAATGGCTTTAGGTGGTTGCACTCATCAGCTCACCACAGCATGCACAATTATTTGAAATGAGTGTGGTTGTGTAGGGACAGATATGACATCAACCGCGTCATGTCGTACGAGAGTTGAGGCCCAACTAATCTGAGTATCATTAGTTGTCCTACTGAGCACTCTCTGTCTATGCTCCAATGTCTGATATAAAGAGATCTAAAATTGAAGAAAATACATACCCTGAAAGAGTGATGTCGTAAAAAAGATTATACAGCACCATTTCTCCGACATCCATCTGAAAAAACTTGGCGATACCGCGGATCTCGCCAGCATATGGCGAAGGAAGATAGTAGTCCAGTGACCCCGCAATGATCTCAAGAAGTTGCATTGTCTCTTTGTTTACAAATGAGCTGCAAAACACGCAAAGAATCTTTGGAACAAATTAAAAATGAATCACACACAATCACTGTATTAAAATTGTTGGAAAAAAACCCAATTTGTACATTTTAAAACATTTGCACATCTTAAAAAAACCCTAGATATTCGCGTTTGTTGAAGTACAAATACAGAGAGGTCGGGCTGGCATCTTTAAATGTCATAAACTTTGTCACGATCCTATCCCCCCCCCCCCCCACGTCCAAAAAGAGGGGATATCCCCCCCCCCCTGGGATTTACGCCCTTGGGAAAGATTCCCATATCTAGCCATCACTTGTCACCCTGTGCACAAACCTTGAGACTGGTCTGAAAATTTCTAATTGTTTTCTCAGTAAATAGTTCAATATTTTCCCTGCTATTTTTTACGTTTTAGGACATATTATGATCACTTTGTGTAGTAACTTGGACCCAACTTAATATCGCCTGTTTGACATTCGGACCTACTATCGCCAGACCGTCCATGTCCGAATGTTAAAAAGACGACAAGTTTGGTCCAAGTTACTCGGACTACACTTTCTGATGGCTGATAGGTCACTGAAGGGAAAAATTAGTGATGGCCAGATATTGGAATCTTTCCCGCCCTTGCCTCTCCCCCTTTCCTTTGAGTTTACTCCAAATAAAATTCACATTCTTTAAAATAAATAGGCTACTAGCACAAATCTCGCTCGGTCGTCACATAATATCACTCACGGTCGACTTACTCAAAAACTGCCCTGGCCATTTCCCGATATTCACTGACATTCCAGTGTTGCAAGACGGACTCCCATCGCTCTTCCTCGGGCAGATCGATGTTCATGGAATACCTGGGAGCTTTCGTGAGACCCTCATTCCAAGTTGGAGAGCCTAGGACCAGGGGAATTGCGAGGAAAATGAAGGAAAGGCGCCACATTTTGAAAGTGTGCGAAAACACGATTTTCAGCCTTCTCTCCGTGCGCGCGCTGCAAGGCCACTGTCAGGTGATTACGTAAACACGACTGACAAGATCACGTGACGACAGGGTAATGTCACGTGATTACTTAGATGTAAACACACTGGAATGCATAAAACCATGGAGGAATAAGGAAACAAAACAATGAACTTTTCCTTTCCAAAAAAATTGAGTGCTTTTCATATTAAAGTGTGAAGTGCCGTAGCCTTGTGAGTAGTGGTTGGAGCATTTTGAATTCGTGGTCTGCGGGTAATTCTGCAGGATATGTGTTTGAGTCAATCAGCCTGGGGTTTATGCATGGTTAAGATGGAGGACGGAGCGGGGGTCAGACAACTCGACCGTTGAGAAACTCGCGAGCTCGACTAGGGACAGCTCGACCGTTGAGACAACTCGACTGTATGCGGGTTAAATGAAAATACAAGTCATGTTGTCTCAACAGTTGGGTTGTCCGGAGTCGAATTGTCTCAACGGTCGAGTTATCTCAACGGTAGACATGTCTAAGATTTTGAAGAACACTGGTGTGTGTCCTTGGGCACTGCACTTTGTCACTCATTGCTTCTTTCCACCCAGGAGTAAATGGGTACCTGTAAGGGCAGAGATGGTTATTGCGATTGATTTTTAGCTGCTTTGTGCCAAAATGACAGCATTGAGCTGTATATTCCCCCAGGGAGCTGAGATTGTCTTTGGAACGTTTCATTCGCCCAAATGTGCAGGATAATTGACGTAACGCCTTTGAGCACCAATATTGGTGGATACGTGCCATTTATGAATAAACATTTATATTATTAACCCCCCCATGTCAAATGTCAAAATATTTCACACATTTACCTTTGTAAAGAAAATGATTTAATCCAAGTAAAAAAAAATTAACAAAACTGCAAATGAAAAACCAACTAATGCAGTATGTTTCGTTTATTTTGAGTTATTTTAATTAATATACCAAATATACCATAAAACTTTAAATTACTAATGTATAATTACGCATAATCTCTACATTCTTAAAAAGAATTAGGAATGAATTAATTCATTAATGACATCCTCCCTCACAAAATATATTCTTTTGCATATCTAATTTCAATATTTACATATTCAGTTGCATTTAAAAAAATATAAATTGAATAGTAAAACTATATTTTAATTGTCAACAATCATTGTAGGCACGATTTCTCTGGTACAGAGACATTTTGTTTGTAAAATTTACATCAAATCGCAAAATATAATTTTTTCTTCATATAATGCATTCATTAAATGGCAATATTTATCTTCAAGGAATCCAGTACTGACAAAAAACATCCATCAACAAGGCTTAATTTAAAATACATCGATAAAAAAATAACATTGCCTTTAATTTAAATAACATATCATTTTATTAAGTTATTTTTTTTTCAATTCAGTTTTATATTTTTTGCAATGACACCTCCAATTGTTAGGAATTTTCCAACAGCAAAATTTCAGACTCGTACGAACATATCAACACCGACTGAAAAATCAAAATACAGTGCACCGTGTTTATTTTTTAAATTGTTCAATTAAAAAAGCACGATACATGTATTTGAAGTTCATACCATAATTAGAAAATGAACAAATATATATTTCTCATTAATAATACCCGATAATACTGGAAACTGCAAGTTTCAATCCTGTTTAAGACATTTTTGTGTCTTATGGAAAATTGACAAGTTTTTTTCAGTATTTGCAGATAATATTTTGTGCAACAGACAATTCAAAAGTTAGGAAATCATTTCATGAACTTTCCCCTAGCCACATCGACGAATAAAGGTTTTGTAGAGGCCTGGGTGGGCAGCACTCATCAATGTTGTGTAAACAGTCTCCCTGTAAAAGAATAATAACGGGTATTTATACAGTCTATGATTTTTAAAAGGCATTCAGGATCATTTGCTTTTCAAGCATTTTGTTCGTTTCCAATAATAACACCGGAAAGAATGTTACAATCCGACACTGATTTTTAAAAAAATATATCATCTCAATAAAGGTCAGTCATTGCAAAAATGATGATGAGACATGAATCTGGGACTGAGAAACATTTCCAATTTTGTTAGGAAATACTTTAAAAAAAATTTGGACTCTCCGTACTTTGCACACAACCGCAGAAGTAGCGTCAGGTTGCAACATTCTTATCATAACACCGCTCAAAATCCGAAGACAAATGTTCAAAACCTAACATGTTGAACCCCCCCCCCCAACCCCGTTTTCCTCCCCAACCTAAAAATGTATCTCAGCAGACTACCTACCCACGGCAAACCGGTGTAACAGACAGCACCTTCAGTAAGTTGTCCAGGTTGATATTTTTCTGTCCAATCGCCTCCATTGCCTTGTTCCCGGCGTCCCTAATTCCAGTTGGAAAAAAATATCTGAATCATTGTCAATCGTTATCAAGATTTTTCTTTTTTTTAAGATAGTGGATATTTTGCCAGAGGTAATGACGGCAAACTAACGATTACTAAAGGTTTGCCGGCGGCAATCCATATCAACAGAGGGCGCTGTACTCTTTAAAATAGGGCTGAATTATAAGATGTATTAAATTCCCACCAAAAGTTGTGTAGCACGTTTGGTGTAATGGTTAAGCAAAGGCTCTAGTAAGCGGGATGACTCGCGTTCGATTCCGACCACACCACATTTTTAAGTTTTGTTTTCTCATCCCCAAATAAATAAGAACATTCTTCTTTTATTATTTTAACATGTCTCAAACATTTTTTGCAGAGTATTACATTTTCTTTTTCAGATTTGTGGCTCTGGAGGATTTTTTTTAAAAGGGAAATAAAGTCCGAAATTATAAAATGGTCTGAATCCCATCTTGTGAATACGAGGTAACAACGATAATTTTGGCATGGAGCCAGACTAAAACTTGTCACCGGAAAATGTTTAGGTACAAAAAAACAGTAACTGCGCATGTTCAGTGCATATCCGGCAAACTAACGTTTACTAAAGGTTTGCCGTCTCCGGCAAAATATACACTGCCTTTTTTTAAATATTGGTGGAATTTTACAAGACTTTACTGGGGCAAGTGGGTTATTCTTGCTTACCTCCGGTCGTCTGTCTTCGGTGGTGGCAGCCAATGATCATAGTTCGTCTCCAACACAAACCATCTGTAAAGTATGCAATAGTCACATTTGATTGAAATTGGATCTGAAAGTTGCTCCGTTTTGCAATACAATTGAACACTTTTAATGAGTGAACATTTGTGGAGAAAAATCCCTAAAAGAAATTGGATTATAAAAAAAATGTAATCAAGCTCAAGTCGATATAGTCTTAAACACCTTGCAGAGTTGTATTTTTCCCCAAATTTTTGATGTTGGGGTATTTACCATTGGTTTCTATGGCAATATATTGAACTTTCTTCACCGATCCGTGGTTGGTACTTTTTGCCAATCACTTGTTGGCAAAACTATGGAAGGTCAACTTTGCAAAAAGAAAAGAATAGTACTTAACGTTTCCAAACATATCAAGAGATTCAAATGCTTCCAAAGACTTAATAAAGATGCCTCTTTTTTACATAATAAGTGCGTTAATATGCAATTTTTGGCAAAAACTATTGCCAGCCATGGCTTAGATTTATACCCTTTGTGGCAGTCCTTACAAAATGGCTCTCGATGTTTACAAACGATCAGAAAGTTCACCTCTCACCTCCCAGCGGATGCGTTAAGGCGCCACACGTCTAGCGCCCTCAATCGGTCTCTTGTGATCACAGCGCCCTCTCCAGCCCGAACCCCGCCAACGATGAAATAGTTGGGCGCCGTCTCTTTTTTGTTGGTCATGCGATCCATGGCACTTTGAAAATCGTCCCCGGCCGCGAGCGCCTAGATTTCAAATCGAGGCCATTTCAAAGATCAAGACAAAGAATTTATCTGATGCAATCCTTGAAAATATACCCTTCCAGTTTTCAATCTTCATTTTGTCATTTTATAGGGTTTTTGGGTGCCTTTTTTGGTTTTACACTAATGCAAATTTACATATTCATGAGCAAAACTGTCATGCCATTCAAAGCAGAAACAGCTATTTCAGCAGCACCAAAAGTTGCAAGAACTTGGGGTTTTTTTTTGCCGTCATAAATTTTTCTGTTTTTGGTGATTCAAAGGTTTTTGTTTAAATACATGGCAGTATTAAAGTCTATGAGAAAACTTTATGTGTCTAATTAGAAAATGTTTATGTTCACAATTTGAACAGAAAAACCCCTACACCGAAGAGTGTGTGCCTTTAATAAAGCCTCACAGCAACAGCGCCCTCATTTGTCAGGAAAGCATGGAACATTTTAAATGTTTAAAAAATATCACTTTATACAAACATTTCATCCAAAAATGGATGTTCAATAGGTTTATATGATAAAAATAAGTTCAAGCAGTGCTCAACGGGAATTTTGTAGCTGAATTTTTGGCCCTACTTGGCCTTCATCGGAGCTGAAAGGTTAATTTCATACACTACACTACAAAAGATTTCATACACTTCAAAAGAATTGGACATTTTGCAAAGTACATATTTTAAAACTGACTTTCAATAACTTACATCTCTTATTTGAAACGAAGTGAAGACAGTGTTTCTGGATATCAGCGCTTTCAGAATCTGGATGAGGTTTTCTTCAAGAGTGCCGTTATCTGATGATAAAAGGACACATGAATGGACTTTTAGGAAGTTCAAAACTTTCTTAACCCTAAAAGAGCTTTTTTGGTTTGTTAGATAGAAATTGGGCCGTCCATGTTGGCCAAGAAACAACATTTTGAAAATAATAATAATCTGCATTTTTTTCTCCAGATTAAAACAGGAACAAAGACTGTGTAATATTGCCTCATTAATATATCCTCAAAAAATATCATTATTGGACCATATACACAGTTGTTGCCTTGGCCTTGTCATAGAAAAACTTTCTGCACTTACGTCTTTCGTTCAAGGAGACGGTAAAACCATTCGGACGCTGGCTGGTCACTGCGCCCACATTCCCAACAAATACAGTGCTGGTATACAAAGTCTGAGAAGAAAATAAAAATCACATTAAGATGCATAAGTGTACTCATGAATGATTCATGAATAGCTGGGACCAGCCATTTCATTGGTCAAAAGTTGATCAGGTGACCTGTTACTTATTTATGTAAACTACGATTTGAAGTCCCTAAACTGATGTGACTTTTCGCATCATTTTGGCATACAAATTGCCAGAATGATTGAAATAAATTAAAGGTGCACAATACGGCTGAAAAAGTAATTGTAGTTCAGATAACCACTACACTCACTAAGGAAAAATTTTGACTTTTGAATTTAAGAATTTAAATTTAAAAGACGTAAAGAAACAGTTCCTGTCACCTTGCCCTTGCTTTGGAAGTCAATCTCAGCCGTCAAGTTTCTTAGAACTTCTGTAAATGCGAAATCCAAGTTGCGTCCGTGCCAGATGTTGCCGTCGCTATCCTGTGCCACGATGCTGGTGCAACTCCTAGTGAGATAATATTGTCTTTGGTGATGTACATGTAGTTATATAACTTATCACAAATCATCATAAGTATATCACAAGACCCTCACAAGTCAATCACAAGTCAATCACAAGTCCATCACAAGTCAATTACATGTCAATCACAAGTGATAAACACGTGTCAATCACAAGTCCATCACAAGTCCATTGCAAGTCCATAACATGTCCATCAGAGTCCATCAAAAGTCCATCACAAGTCAATCACAAGCCCATCACAAGTCCATCACAGGTCAATCACAAGTCAATCACAAGTCAATTACACATCAATCACAAGTGATTAACACGTGTCAATCACAAATCCATCACAATTCCATTACAAATCCATCACAAGTCTATCACAAGTCCATCACAAGTCAACCACGAGTCCATCACAAGTCAATCACAAGTCAATAAACAAGTTAATCACAAGTCAATCACAAATCCATCACGAGTCCATCACAAGTCAATCACAAGTCAATCACAAGTCCATCACAAGTCGATCACAAGTCAATTACAAATCCATCACAAGTCCATCACAAGACAATCACAAGTCAATCAAAAGTCAATCAAAAGTCAATCACAAGTCGATCACAAGTCGATCACAAGTCAATCACAAGTCTATCACAAGTCGATCACAAGTCAATCACAAGTCAATTACAAATCCATCACAAGTCCATCACAAGACAATCACAAGTCAATCGCAAGTCAATCACAAGTCCATCACAAGTCAAGCACAAGTCCATCACAAGTCAATCACAAGTCAATCACAAGTCCATCACAAGTCAATCACAAGTCCATCACAAGTCAATCACAAGTCCATCACAAATCAATCATTACTCAATCACAAGTCAATCACACGTCACGCGTCAATCACAAATCAATCACAAGTCAATCACATGTCTATCACAAGTCAATCACAAGTGAAGTCAATCACAAGTCAATCACAAGCCAGTCACAAGTCAATCACAAGCCAACCACATGCTATCAAATGAACTATGATAAAGGTATTTCTTTGTAATTGTTCATCTAGTAACTGGACTTGTGAAAAGACTCGGGATTGACCTTTGACCGGACTTTTTACACCACTTTACCTTGTACTTACGTCGTGGTAGCTGAGAATGAATACAAGACATTGAGGAAGACAACCTCTCCAATGTCCATCTCAAAGTAGTTGGCGACGCCGCGGATCTCGCCAGCATAAGGAGATGGGAGAAAGTAATCAATCTGACTCGCCAAGACATTGAGAAGGGCCAAGAGCTCCGGAGACATTACTTTGCTGTTAAGGATGTAACAGCAAAGGAAGAAGTAAAGCAGTGAATTAATTATGAAAGTAAAATACTAAACTGCTGAATCCAACAATTTACAAATTGTCAAGAGTGAGATTCTAACCAGCAGCCTCTGAACTGCACTGGCATTCTATCAGCTGCCATAGAGCACTGGTACGGTTTTTTAACGGTACTGGGTTCATGTCGCACTCTTGTCCACTTCATTTTTTTTTCACTGTAAAAACTGGTTATTTTACTTAGTCAGTTTTCCTTGTGGTTCATTTGATAAAAAAAAACGTGTTACATTCCGATGTCAGTTTTACATAATTTGCTTGTTTAAATTTTCAAAATGCAGGCGGGGCGGGGGGTGCTCTTTGCTGCCGGCTTTATTTCTGTATATTAATACATCATGGCAACGAATTTAACACAGTCATCTTCACTTTTCTTAAGTTATTTAAAAATTTACACTTAATGTTGGGGGGAGGCAGTTCCATCTTACCCCCCCCCCCCCCCATGGGATGTGCATCGGAACAGTGACTTGACTACCCGACCGTTAATGTCATAATTCTAGATTATGGGAACGGGTACCCATAACCAACTTTACAAATTACTCAGTTACTTCTCAGATAATGAAAAAGAAAGGTTTTCAAGTCATTTGTCGGGAATTTTCAAAATGAAAACCAAGCTACATGGAAAAACAAAACATATTTCACATTTTCGATGCTCGCGAAAGCTGCAGGTTACACCGTAAAGCTATAAAGCTCACTGTACACACTTGTATCTTGCTGGATTGATGTGCCGATGTGGTAGTATTATCGTGCAGACCTTTGTAAACAATCTAAACTGCAACTTCCGAGATCTGAAATGTTGGCATGTTTGGCGTTGGGTTTCTTTAACGGGTACCTTGGCACGTACCCTGTTTCTGTACTACCCGTAAATGCAACCCCCCCCCCCCCCCCCTTTTCTGGATCTCCCAGTGTGAGAACACCTGTGAGACTATAAAGAATACTTAACAGTTACGACACCGTGTCTAAACATTTTGGGAACTCATACTTTTCTGTCTTTTGAAAACTGCCACAGCCATCTATCAATGACAATTTGTTTAAGGTCAATTATCTCGTTGATCCGCATTGTGCCCACACAGTGATTTGCTCTGTCAACATATCATTATCAGAGAGGTCAAGTGGTTCAAAGTACCCCTTTTCTTGTTATTGTAAGATTTGTTGTTGTTAAATAAATGGATTATGCGATGAATGCATTGAATGGATAATAACTTTTCCAATTTGCAACGGTTACAAAACCTTCACTTAAATTTTGTTTTTTAGACTCCCTTGAACAAAAAAAAGCATCAATCAATGGTATAAAGATTACTGAAGTATTTCATTTTATCTATCCAATCGCTTCTGAAATTTTGAAGAACAATTAAGTTTGCCAGATATTCTAGGCTACAACATGAAAAGCCGTTTTTACCATGGTGAAGTGGACATTTTTATGTCCAACATTAACAGTTGGTTTTGCATGAAAATACACAAACTCATATGTCAAATCCCAAGAATTAAAGAAATGTGGTCCTGTGACAGATTGTTGTGGTTTTCTTTTTGGGGGGGGGGGGGGGTCTGCAACACCATGAACACAATATTTATACACTGCCAAACTTTAAGTTTAAAAAAAAAACCTTCTTTTTTTCAAATCTCAAAGATTGAAAACATCAATCGTTTCATTTTTTATTTAACATGTTCTTCCTGCCATTAACAATTGTCAACTTACAGCAGCACTTGGTTTCGTATCATCTCCCGATACTGGGTTTTGTTCCAGTGCTGCAGGACCGGTCGCCAACGCGTCTCTTCCGGCATGTCGAGGTCGACGGTGTACCGTGGAGGAGGCAGCAAGTCCCCGGCCAACACCGGCACGACGGGCCCGCTCAGGACCGACGGGATGAGGCAGAAGAGCCACAGACACAGAAACCTCCACATTTTTGTTAGAGACTGTCAATACAATCTCCAAGAAGGAAGAATAAAAGTTTTTTTCCTTGAATGTGTGCTTCCGCCTGCTGAAAAGTAAAACTGTCTGCAATTTGCGGAGCTTCGAAAGTTCGCTCTCGCATCTCTCGGATCGATCGGCCTCGTGAAAAAATACGAGCGCCCTCTCTTGTTACAATTTTTTTTTATTTATTTTTTAAATAAGTTCAACAACTAGTCGGGGGCCGGGGGGGGGGGGAGGCATTGCAATTTCTAGAAAAATATATGCATGGCAATGTTTGTTGATTGTTTCATCATATTCTTTTCTTTTGTACCGGTATGGTACAAAAATGGGACATAATGTCACATTGCATTATGGGTGGGTACGACGGGTAAGGAGTTAGACTGTTTCCCGCCCCCCCCCCCCCCAAAAAATAACTATGGGGACGGGATTGGATCACCTCTGCGCGCGCGCATCATGATTGTTTATTTTAAAATCGCTGTTTATCAGCACGTGCATGGACGGTGATGATTACACGGTTATGAAAAAAAACCTCTCTCTTGTCGTACCACAAAAAGTGCGCAAAATCATCAATTATTTCAAATGCATGCCTAGGTTCCGGACATTGATCTCCATATACACAGACTGGATAGGACATCGCGTACGAACGTGCGTCCGCGCGCGCGTTTTTTGAAAAGGGTAAAGAACACAATTTCGCATGCGAGTTGTGTACACTTTCGAACGGAGGATTAAAAAATGAAGTTGGGTTTTCTTCGGTTTCTTTGTCATTTTTGAAAGAAACAGAGATCTAAATTGATCAAAATCGATGAGGAGTATAGTCAAGGTGAGCGCAGCATTAGATTGCTGCCATGGAGTCGGGAAGTAAGGAGCGTTGAAGAATAGGACAATTTATTCGCAAGTAAGTTGTTTTTTAACGAGGCCTATACAACATGGCATGGAGGAATATGAACATAGCAAATTACAATATCGTTAGTGTTTTCGCTCTGAGTTTGAGGGGATGGAGGCCTGTGTGGTAGCTAGCGAGATATTCTGTTCAAATTCCATGCGATCTAGACCTGTCATGCTGGTCGTTGCCGTCCATGTTTTTTTTAAAGACATAGGCCTAAACGTGCATGACTGACCCGGCAATGGCAATGAACAAAAGTTGACTTGTTTAAAATAGTTTATTCCAATAACCTTTATAACTTTTATATGCAAATCTGATTGAATTTATGTCTGCCTTGGCTTTAGCTCTACTGAGTGGAGCGCTGGAACTTCGGTACCCTCCGTACAGCTTGTACGGAGGGTACCGAAGTTCCAGCGCTCCACTCAGTAGAGCTACCTTGGCTTAACGCCTACCAAAATGTTTCTATTATTTTTCTTTATAAAGAGAAACTGAGGAGATGGTTTATGCTAACTTACTGCACAACCGGCCGATTGACCTTCATATCAAACAAAGAACTTCAGAAAAGCCATAGTAAAGACCACCAGCTGCAGGACGATATCCGAGACGGACGAAAATGGAGAACTTCACGGAGGGATGGAATCGAATACCGTATGTCATCCACTGAATGGAACATGCGATGTGATGGGCATATCAGAGTTTGTTGTGTGACCGACTACGCAGTCCGCGTTGTACGAGAATTCTGCGAAGAAACGGGCAGGGACACTCGTTTCGAGACACTTCCTGTGAAAAAACTGGACAGAAGATTTTTTTTAAATTAAACTTGTAAAACCTTTACCCCAAATTTCCCTGAACTTAAGCTTGTTTTATTGCCCCTACATCTATATTATGTTGAAAGAAAATTTTTCAAAGATTCCTTCAGTTTGCCACCCTTAATTTCCCTTAGAAAAACAAGTAAAACACATCATCAAGACAGAGGTATGACAAAACAGTTGTTGACTGATGTGATGTGTGATATGATATGACGTTTTGAACACCCTCGGGGACGCATAGCACCCTCGGCTTCGCCTCGGGCGCTATGCAGCCCTCGGGTGTTCAAAACGTCATATCCCACATCACATCAGTCAACAACTGTTAAATAAGGGAATAAATGTGTGCTCCGGAGGTTTTTATCACTCGTTTAATACCGCTTAGAGTCTGGGTGCTGATAATTACCCGAGCCGGAGGCGAGGGTAATTATCAGCACCCAGACTCTAAGCGGTATTAAACGAGTGATAAATACCGACCGAGCACATATTTATTCCCATTCATAAATACCTTATCCGTAAAAAAAATTCAAATAATTCGTTCAAAAAATCCCGATTTTGTTCAACAAGTTCACTTCATGCTTTTTGAAACATCCCTCTAGCAAAATAATGGACTGTTCAGCTGGCGAGTAAGATGTAAACAACCCTTTTATGGAGATTGACGCGCGCGTAACATGTTCTGCGCGATGTCACGCAGAACGCACCTGGGGCGTTGCGTTTTGAATTTAGAACTATAAAATTCTGACTCGCTTGTAGTGTTGCGCATGCCTACGTGAGGATTATGAACGTTCAACCAATGAAACGGTAAGAGGCACTGGATTTTTAGGAGTCCACATTTTATTGTGACACTGGAAAAGTGTTTAAGACCAGCTAGCCATGTCTTTATCATCCGTTTAATACCGGCCACGTGACGGGCTCTCGACCAATAGGAATAGCTAAACTGTCTGAGGTATTTATGAATATAGCAAAAACCACCAGCTGCAGGACCGAGCCGGACGACTCTGGAGAACTTCACGGAGGGATGGAATCGACTGTATCATCCACTGAATGGAACATGCGATGTGATAGGCATCTGAGCGTTTGACTTAATCAATTTTTACGATGTGGAACTGTTAACATTGATTGATTTTGGTTTAGTGGAAAGAAGTTGTGGAGTTCAACGCCCGTATTTTTATCATAATTATTTAACATAATTATGTCGTGCAATGTTTGTTAAGATTGGGCAAAATTCATAAATTGTGCACGTGATATTCCCACCCAATCTTAAGAGTGAGCGCAGCCGCTCATTCTTAAGAACGCGTGCTCGTTCTTAAGAATGGGCGCTCATTCTTAAGAATGCGCGCACAGTCTTAAGATTGCGAGATTTTCAAGAATGGGCACAACACAACCATCGAATGATGACGTGGACTTTATTTATCATAACAAGGAAGTGACCTTGATAACCCATCCGTGGTGAATGTCAACAGTATAGCCATATTAGAAAATATACATGTACAGGCCTACATACAATTCTCCAAAACAGCTAAGCTAGCCCCGTGTTTCTGGTATCAACGTGCAAACTACAGGTAAGTACATGTACATGTACATTGATTGTACGTGTATACAACACAAGGCCTACTGCCTCACGATTGATTGTGACTGGATGCATACAGTATATGCAGTGATATGGCAAGTATCAAGGGGGGCCTAGCCTTGTATTTGTACGAGAATTGAACCGATCCGTGCACACAATCATCCTTCAATTGATAACTTAGTGAACAGCCTTTTGTGATGCGCTCGACTATTAATGACGAAACGCTATAGGCATGTGCAATTCACTTTGCCATTGCAACTATCAAATGTATAAGTATTATAAACATGTACATGTACACGAAGAGTGTGCATGTCTATGCGCTGTGTCAAGCAAAATTCCGCCATTAAACCATTTCGAAATATTCACCCTGACTACAAAATTTCGAAATAATCACACTATACCGACTTAAGGGCCGTTTTTGGCAGTTGAGTAAACATAAATACATTGGCGCAGATGAATATACATGTACATGGTTGTTGAAACACACCAAACAAGTAAAGTCCATTGTTAACTACTATTTTCTGACAAAACAAAACAGCTTTTCTTAAAAATCGACCAAAGGTCTCTCTTTGAAGCACGACAAAGTGCTGTCGTAAATATAATGTAATACGTCACTTAAATGGCCAGTTATAAGCAAACACTTTCATTTCGTTATATTGTAGTGTCAAAATCGCCCTACTAAGGAAGGGGAATAAACGCACAGAAACATGACTGGATTTCGTCAGCTTGTGGTGGTTTCTCTACTTCTAGCGTTCTGCGAGGTTTGTCGGCCGTGTAAGGTGGCCAACTGGCGGCGCAAGAGCGTTGCCGAGCAGGCAGCCGAGGCGAAGATCATCGTGTACGGGACGGTCAGGGCGCACTACCCGATGCCTGATGTTCCCATTGAAAGGGTAAGTCTTTTCTTAGTGAACTATCGAAACGGAATGGCTTTTGTGTAGTACATGTACTACAGTGTTCACATGCACTACAATAATTTGCAGGACCAATTTGTGAATGAGGCTTTGTCTGTAAGCACTTTCAAAATCTAGGGTAAGAAAGCCCAGTCATTAAGCTTTCTTTTAGTACAAGAACCAATCAAATCACTAATGTACTTTTCAAGTTACGGAATTTTGAACACAAACACCATTTTGAAGTTCTGTCTACGGATCATAAAAAAGGCAAGTTATCGTTCATAGCAAAACGAAAACAAATCACTTAGGGATTTGTGAGAGAGTTGTTTTCGTTTTGCTGAAAGTAGCATGCAAACCGCAATGTATCAAACGGTTATAATATTCAATCATTTATCACACATTTTAAACTTTCTTCGCAGGCCTATGTTGCTGAAATGGACGTCACCTGTAACTTGAAAGGTGAAGTTCTACCAGCTAGGATCAACATCTTCGAAGCAGGAAAACTGACGTCTTGTCATCACACGCTGCTACCGATCGGCGGAGCATTCATCACCTTCCTCGAACGGGACGCGTCCGGTCAGCTCGTACCGGACGAAGTCAACCATCTTTCCGTGGCCTTCCCGCCGACGAGTGAGAACGTGTACGGCGTGGGCAAAGCCGTGGGGGGCCTGGCCGAGAAATGCCCGCAGCTCAGTCACAGCCAAATCGGAGTCGGTGAATATACGGGCGGCGACAATAGTGCCGTGATTGGGAAACCTGGTCCACTGATCTCCTTCGTTGCCGTGCTTATTGCGGCAATGATGAACTAGACTCCTGATCTCGGCCGCGTCAGGTTTTTGGAGAGAAAGAATCCTGCAAATTAACGTTTAATAAATATCACCAACGAATTTGACTGTGTTCAAGGCAAGAGGCAACCGTAAAAGGAAACAGGTCATATTTTTAGCGACGAGGGGGCGCCGCGATGCGACAAACAGTAGTTGAAACAATGTAACCGCTATCTTAAATTAATTAATTAATTAGATTAGATTAAAAATAATTTTATTCATGTAAAATATACGTTGGATTCACGGAGTCTAGCCTTTTTGTAAAATTACGAATGAAAATCTTTATTGCGTTATGGTTGGACTACATTTTTTATTATGCAAAACATGCATTGGTTTAGGTAAAAAAAAAACTTTGTGATTTAAAGAAAGAAAAGCTTGTTTTTTGTTCATCATTTCTGGTTAGAGCCAGATGCGCCATTTACGTCATGAAACATCCCAGGCACGTAGTGGTACCAGTACTCAAACCTGTATCATGATAAAATATAATGGTTTATTAACATGATCTAAAAGTTTGTAAAAAACGAAAGAATTCCGCATTTTTTTCTTTGAATACCACAGGCCAAATACAAGCCCAACTTTAAATGTACCTTTGAAGATGCAGTGATAAACCCATGCTTGACATTTTTTATAGTACACAAATAAAGTGGCACAGATTATGAATACGTTAAAAAAGACTTAAGGGAAATGAGGTATTGTAATGTGCTTTAATCACACCAAAGGTCCGTAATGACGCATGATGAAGTATTGTACCATAATTAATAAGGGTACGTTTGAAGAATCTTTATGCGCCACGGGCCTTTAGTGCAAGTTGAACAAAATCAACAGGTACTTCTTTTAGGCCAAAAAAAAAGTCTCCGGTTTATGGTATGGAGCTTGCCCAAAAAGTGGTGCGGCGACGCGGCTTTTTTTTTTTTTTACCTGATTTTTTTGCTTCAAAATCGGCTGATGACTGCAAATGGTGCCCGACTAAACTTAGTACAAGTAGGCCTATACGGGATTGGGAGTCCAGAGAGGCCACATAAAGCTTATTCACGACCATAACCCCACCTAAAAACACGTTAAAATTGTGCAGCAGCAGGATTCCAGTCAAACCAGTGAGTTTGGCGGTTCTGAGACATCATCTTTCACTGAAATTGTTTTTTTTTCCATTTTGCCGACGCGCATGGCTACGGCGACGCGCGCGCATACCAGAAACCGGAGACTTTTTTTGGGCCTTATCTGGAGTCTGTTGCAAAATTTGAACTTCCAGAGGAAAATTTGGAATCCCCCACCCCACAAATACACTTTACAGGGACCCGCTGTTCGCTCGTAACCCCCCCCCCCCCCCCCCGCCTTGCAAACAGTTTTGCAGGGCGGGGGGTACGAGCGAAGGATCAGGACCCGTTCGCTCGTACCCCCGCCCTGCAAACAGAATGCTGAATAGTAAAACCATGGGTAAAACTGTCGGCAGTTCGCAGAGCTTCGAAAGTTTGCTCGCTGGGATCGGCCTCGTGAAATACGAGGACCGAGCGCCCTCTCTTGTTACAAAAAAGTTTATTTATGTTTAAAATAAGTTCAACAAGTAGTCTTATTTTCTCCACGGGTGGGGGGGGGGGGGGATTGCAATTTCTTGAAAAATATACGCATGACAATGTTTGTTGATTGTTTCATAGCATTATGGGCGGGTACAGAGTTAAGACTGTTTCCCGCCCCCCCCCCCCCCAAAAAAAACTAATATGGGGAACGGTAGCTAGCTCCATAAAGCCATTGATGGTCGGATCATGGAGCTATAAAAAGGATCCATGGATTGCATCACCTCTGCGCGCGCGTCATAATTGTTTAAGTTTTCAAATCTCTGTTTATCAGCACGTGCATGGACGGCGATGATTAAAACGGTTATAAAAAAAAACTCCCTCTTGTCGTACTACAAAAAATGCGCAAAATCGCGCATTATTTCAAATGCATGCCTAGGTTCCGGACACACACTCACAAAAGGACAACCATAAACGTCGCCCCCTACTGTCAAATAGTGTCCAGTCTATCTCATCCCCTTAACAGCGTCTCCAAGTAAGTGTCAAATGAATCGACTCCTGATATCAACCCCACTCTTTGCCATTTCGGGCTAGTAAATTTCAGAGGGAAAATTTCATGTTGCTGCCCATCGTGGGACAGTCGGGGAATTTCGTGGCCATACCATACCGCCTCAACCCAAACAACTGAGATACGGATAAGCTATACGCCGTCCTATTTCTAAGCACTCGCCTTCAATTTGTGTGTGACAGTAGCGCGCGCTTGTTGCAAACGTCACCGTGCGCAGATTATGGAGGGTCGATGATGCAGCTAGCACAGAACGATCGTGACACCACGGAGGAAGGAAAACACAAACAGGCACCACTCGGTACCATGCAGCCATCGAATGATGACATGGACTTTATTTATCATAACAATGAAGTGACCTTGATAACCCATCCGTGGTGAATGTCAACAGTATAGCCATATTAGAAAATATACGTACAATTCTCCAAAACAGCTAGCTAGTCCCGTGTTTCTGGTATCAACGTGCAAACGACAGGTAAGTATACATTGTACGTGTATACAACACAAGGCCTACTGGTACCCATCACGATTGATTGTGACTGGATGCATACAATATATGCAGTGATATGGCAAGTATGGGGGGGGGGGGGGGGAATCGAACCGAACCGTGCACACAATCATCCTTGTTGACAACTTGAATAGCCTTTTGTGATGCGCTCGACTATTATTAATGACGAAACGCTATAGGCCTAGTGCATTCACTTTGCCATTGCAATCACTGTGATAAGCATTATAAACATGTACATGTGCACGAAGAGTGCGTCCATTATGCAGTGTCAAGCAAAATTCCACCATTAAACCATTTCGAAATATTCACCCTACAAAATTTCGAAATAATCACCCTATACCGACTTAAGGGCCGCTTTTGGCAGCTCAGTTGATTAAACAGAAATTACTTGGCGCAGATGAATATATGGTTGTTGAAACACACCAAACAAATAAAGTCCTTTGTTAACGAATATTTTCTGACAAAGCAAAACAGCTTTTCTTATAAATCGACCAAAGGTCTCTCTTTGAAGCACGACAAAGTGATGTCGTAAATAAAATGCAATACGTCACTTAATGGCCAGTTATAAGCAAACGCTTTCATTTCGTTACATTGCAGTGTCAAAATCGCCCTACTATTAAGGAAGGGGAATAAACGCACAGAAAGATGACTGGATTTCGTCAGCTTGTGGTGGTTTCTCTACTTCTAGCGTTCTGCGAGGTTTGTCGGCCGTGTAGCGTGGTCAACTGGCGGCACAAGAGTGTTGCCGAGCAGGCAGCCGAGGCGAAGATCATCGTGTACGGGACGGTCAGGGCGCACTACCCGATGCCCGATGTTCCCATTGAAAATGTAAGGCTTTTCTTAGTGAACTATCGAAACGGAATGGCTTTTGTGTGGAAGTACAGTATTCACATGCACTACAATTTGCAGGACCAATTTGTGAGGTTTTGCCTATAGCACTTTCAAAGTCTAGGATTATGAAAGCCTAGTCATTAAGCTTTCTTTCAGTACTACAAGAACCATTCAAAATTCATGTACTTTTCAAGTTACAGAATTTTGAACACAAACACCATTAGTTCTGTCTACTGATCATAAAAGGGTAAGTTATCTTTCATAGCAAAACGAAAACAAATCACATAGGGATTTGTGAGTTGTTTTTGTTTTGCTGAAGGAAGTCAAACGTACACATCGTTGAGTAAAACAAAGTAGCATGCTAAGCACAATGCCTCAAATATTCAATCATTGATCACACATTTTAAACTTTCTTCTGCAGGCCTATGTTGCTGAAATGGACGTCACCTGTAACTTGAAAGGCGAAGTCCTACCAGCTAGGATTAACATCTCCGAAGCAGGAGAACTGACGTCTTGTCATCACACGCTGCTACCGATCGGCGGAGCGTTCATCACCTTCCTCGAGCGGGACGCGTCTAGTCAGCTCGTACCGGACGAAGTCAACTATCTCTCTGTGGCCTTCCCGCCGACTACTGAGAACGCGTATGGCGTGGGCAAAGCCGTGGGGGACCTGGCCGAGAAATGCCCGCAGCTTCACAGCCAAATCGGTGATTATACGGGCGGCGACAACAGTGCCGCGATTGGAAAACCCGGTCCACTGATCTGCTTCGTTGCCGTGCTTATTGCGACAATGATGAACTAGACTCCTGATATTTAGTGAAGTCCATATAGCCGTGTCGGGTTGTTAGGGAATTCTGCAAATTAACGTTATCACCAATGAATTTGACTTCAAAGCTAGAAGCAATTCATAAAAAGAAACAGGCCATTAGCGATATGAGGGCGCCGTACGACGAACAGTTGCGGGACGCAATGTAACCGCTATCTTAAATTAATTAATTAATTAGATTAAAAATAATTTTATTCATGTAAAGTGTACGCTGGATTCACGGAGTCTAGCCTTTTTGTAAAATTACGAATGAAAATCTTCATTGCGTTATGGTTGGACTACGTTTTTATTATGCAAACCATGCATTGGTTTAGGAAAAAAAAAACTTTGAGACTTAAAGAAAGAAAAGTTTGGTTTTTTGGGTTCAGCATATCTGGTTAGAGCCGGAAGCGCCATTTACGTCATGGAACATCCCAGGCACTCAGTGGTACCAGTACTAGAACCCGTATCATGATCAAATTAAATGGTTTATTAACATGATCGTAAAAGATTGTAAAAACGAAAGAGTTCTGCATTTTTTTCCTTTGAATACCACAGGCCAAATACAAGCCCAACTTTAAATGTACCTTTGAACATGCAGTGATAAACCCATGCTTGACATTTTTTATAGTACACAAATATAGTGGCACTTATATTAGGAATACGTTAAAAAGACTTACGGAAAATGAAGTATTGTAATATGCTTTAATCACACCAAAGGTCCGTAATGACGCATGATGAAGTAATGTACCATGATAATACGTCTTATATAAAATCAATGAAACGAATTTGATTGCTGAGTAACTTGGTTTGGCATAGACGAGACGAAATCGAATACCCGGGACGAAAATGATGTGTTCATTGTTTGATTGGTCAAACCAAATTTGAAATTGTCTAAAGACGAAATTAAATATTTGAAGTGTACTAAATCGATGTTGCTCAGTGGACGAATTTGTTTATTAGGAACGGTGAATTCGAATGATAAACGTTTTACAATAGCCGGGAAAACCTGTGCTATTTAATATTTGCAATCTAACTTGTCAAAAAGTAAAACCAAACAAGCGATAAAATGGAACACAAACTGAAAGGTAATAATTTTAGTAATGAATGAAAAAGATCAAAGCAAAGAGCATATCATTAAACTTTGAGACTAAAATAGATATTTCTGTTTATAATAATGTTTTGTTAGAGGTTCGTACTTCTTTTATCTGGGACCCGCCCTGCAAACGGTTTTGCGGGGGGGGGGGGGGGGGGGGGGGGGGGGGGGGGGGGGGGGGGGTACGTACGAGTGAAGGACCCGCCGCGCCGATGCATGATTGCGTGGATTTTATCGACACTCGACAGAGGGCGCTCGCGATGATTCAGCGAAAAAAAATCATATAGAAAACAACGTGTTTACATTCGCAGAACTTGGACGTAAATTGCCCCCAAATGGCTGATTTGATTGCTTTGCTACCGTCTGAGTACGGTTATGTGATCCTGGTGGTGTTGTTCAGCTGGGCTGTGGTGCAGTGGATGGGTTTCAAGGTCGGCTCTGCTCGCAAGAAGTACGATGTCAAGGTTAGTATTCTGCCGGCTCGCGCCCGTCCATGCAGTGCACGGCAGGCCCGCCCCTGGTCCGCCGCGTCGTGATCGGTCCTGCCGGTCGGGTGCCGGTAGGGGGTGCCGCGGCGGCCGGCCTGCTACGGCCACCTTGGCATACGCGTAGAACTTTCGACGATTGTGTGCTTACTTGTACTCTTTGAGTCTTTCTTTTAAGTTCTGAGATTGTCACTTAAATTTGCTCGAGGGGTGGGGATGTTGTCACTTCGAAATCCCTTCGTCTTTGGGGCAGCGGGGGGGGGGGGGGGGGGGGGGGGACCATGGGCACAAAAGTGTTGTTTTTAGTAGGGGCCTAGTACTAGTAGTAATAGGTAGGCCCTAATATATTACCTTTTAATTCTATTCAACAATTACCCTTTTGGGATAGCTTGAGTAACTCCAGCTGACATGTTCATATTCATTCACATGTGAATGAATATGAGCATGTAGCTGGAGTTACTCAAGCTACTTTTGGGGGTAATTTCAATACATGTAACTAACCTAGTACTGTAGTAGGCTAGTACAGGCCTTCATAAGATTATTACTAGATTTACTATAATAATTAATATCATAATGTACATTTTAGATTGACAATATAGTCAATAATGTTTTGTTACCACTTTTAGTTTTACTAAAAAATGTAGTGGCATGCCGTATTAAAACAAGGTTTGGCAGTATTGCCGTCTGCATTTTCAGGTGTTGTTTTGTCATTACATCAAACATTTATCACTGTGAACATCTTACACAACAATTCATGAATCGTGCGGAATAACAATTTTGTTGTGTCATGATTTGCTTTTACAGTACCCTACATTGTACAGTGACAAGCATGAGATATTCAATTGCATCCAAAGAGCCCACCAGAACACGTGAGTAAGCACAGTAATTTGGTAAGCATAAAAAACTTGCTTACCAGTAATAGACACGGGTCACCAGTTATAATCTCAGGTGATGTACATTGTGTGTGACTGGCTCCCAATTGATTTTTGCTTACCACATAAATTTGCTAAATGCTAATTAGCAGGAGGTCATGGGTTCGAGTCCCACCTCACCTGAGTGATTTTTTCTCGCAATCACTCGAGGGCAACACTGTAGTGTTTATAAAAACACGTCCATGAAGGGCAAAATTTACATCACCCCGACGTAAGTTCAATCGTATGAATACACATGTACTTCTTGTTATTTTGTTGTAAATAGGGTTAGATACCAACTCAGGGAGTCAGGTTGGCGGAGTGGGTACTTTCCTCGCCTTCCACCGCTGTGACCCGGGTTCGAATCCCACCTTGACCAATATGTGGATTGGGTTTTGAGTCCCTACCTGATTCCATGGGTTTCCCTAGAATATCATTCTGGGGTTCTCCTGCCACCACTAAAACTGTAATTTCCTTCCACATCTTCTGCAAAGGGACCCCTCATTAGAAATAAGTCGCGAGACTTTAGTGGGCTATCCCGGCCAATTGCCTAACAATTACAAACTGCGAATAAAATGCATATATTCCTACAGAGGACCCACAAAGTACATGCAGCTATTTGGTGGTTCTTTGTAGGTGTATATCCAAAAATACTTAAGGAAATGCGAATGCGAATTGATGTTGACTAAACCACTGACAAATGAAAAGCATCGTCCCACTTGTTACAATTTTGAGCTGTTCGCCCTCTTTTTTAAGGATTCCCTTAGAAGCTCTTTTGTGACACATCACAATACTTGGAATGTGTTCCCCCCAAGGGAACAATAGTTAGTGGAATAATCCTTAGAGCAAACTATTTTCTTGCTCAAATTTGCAAACCGTTCTTTGCATTTAAACAGCCACAAGATTCTGTAGTGGTATATTTGTTGTCTAAACGCAAGTTGACCAGTTTTTCTTCATTCATTTTTGTGGGTGGGAGAGGCTGGGGTGGGAGAGGCTGGGGTGGGAGAGGCTGGGGTGGGAGAGGCTGGGGTGGGAGAGGCTGGGGTGGGAGAGGGGGGGGTGGGGTTTTTACTTCTCATGAATGCCATTTGCCATTACAAATTGAAAATGCTGTGCAAAGTCTTGTGTTGTTTTGAGTTTCCTGGTTTTTTTCTTCTAAATTCCCATTTGCATGCCTGGGAAAGGAATGAATTTTAAGATTCCCAAAACACATCATTTCAAAATGTGAACATTTCTAGCATCAGTGTTTTAGTATTCGTATTGACTTTGTAACCAAAATTGTCTTGCTCATTTATTCTTAAATGGTCATTTTTTTCCAGTTAATTTAGTAAAAAAAAATTCTTAATTTATTTTTCTTCAGATTGGAGGTGATTGGATACGTTGTGGCGTTCTTGCTCCTTGGAGGGTTGAAACACCCAGTAAGTTTCGTAAACCCTCACTCTCTTGGCGTTTGTTTGCTAGGAACATTCCTGAATCCTACAAAATCTTTCAAATTCCTGAATTGCAAGTGGTATGAGCTGCTCCAGTAACAGTGGTTGAGCTCTGCCTTCCTGAATCCTACAAAATCCTTCAAAACCTACACAATATTTTGGTGGATTTTGAAGGATTCGGGAAAATTTTGGTAACAGGATAAGAGCTATCACTTGTGACTTAGATTGCTTGCAGAATACTGAAGAGAGCCGGGCAGTTCTTTTGTCTAGGATTACCCCATAATGCCAATAAATGGGCTAAATCATAGGTGCCATTTTGAATCATTTGAACATGTGAATATAACTGGTATAAAGTGCCTGTTACCAACGGATACAAAGTACTAATTAGTACCCCCGTTCATCAGGCCATGAGACCATTTCCCTGCAGCAGCTCGAGATCAGCGCAATTCGGTCTCTACCTTCACAGGAACCCATTTATAATCCTTGGCAGAGAGAGGGCAATTGTAGTAAAATGTCTTGCCCAAGAACACAAGCACCATGTTCCCCGTCAGGATTCAAACCCATGTACCCTGGTATATGGGTCGAACACCATAAATAGTGGATCATGGTGTTCCTTGGACCAGCTTTACTTGGCTCAGTCTTGTAAATCAGGTGTTGTTCATAATTATGTGTATTGTTTTACTTGCAGCGCATTTGTGCCATTGCTGGTCTTGTGTTTGTCTTTGGTCGTATCTCCTATGCTCTCGGATACTACAGCGGCAGTGAGTATAGCATCGTACAATAGTTTCAAGCTTGCGTTTTCTGGAGTCACAATAATCCAAAATGAATTTGAAGTGACTCAATGCACTTTTGAGGATTCCTTGGTTTCAGTACCAGAAATAAAATAACACATGTACAGTGGAATGTCGTTATACCGAACACCGCTATAACGAACATTCGGCTATACCGAACATCGTCCTTGGCTCCCACTTTTTGTGTACAAAACGTACCGAACATCGTTGTTGAAAAATGTCAACAGAAGTGTGACAAGTGGCTATTATTTCCCCAAGGAATAGAAGGGAAAAGCCACCCATTGCTGTAGGGGTAGTAAGCTAAAAAAGTGTGTTATTACATAATTTAATAGTCGACACGTGTTCAAAGTCGTCTTTCAGTAACTACCAGGGCGTGCAGGGTGAAGTTCTGAAGGGCGCTATTTATTGAAAAATGAGTACCGGAGCACTGGCAGCTTGAAATCGCCATACTGCACGATCACTATAAACCTTTTCGGAGTTCCAACTGCGCGCATTCGTAACCTGTGACAACGCACATTGTTTGTCTCAAATGCCCTTTGTCAGTACCCACAATGCACAAACAGCCTTTTTGTAAAGTCAGTGGCGCGATGATGTCAAAGGCCATTTGAGACAAACAATGCGCGTTGTCACAGGTTACGAATGCGCTGTTGGAACTCCGAAAAGGCTTATTACGAACAATTTCTGTGGATCCCGCGATGTTCGTTATAGCTGCATTCCAATGTATACTCTTGGTAAGTTTCAAAGTAATAAGCCATGCCCACATACACTTGCATGTCTTGGGTTTATGTTAATGTTTTGACTGTTCCTATTTTGTGTTTTCAGATCCGGAAAAGCGACTGAACGGAGCTTATGGTTACTTTGGCCTCTTCACTCTAATTGGGGCCAACATCTCTCTGGCACTCAGCCTCCTTGGCATTGTGTAGTCTGCTTGGCCTTGGGTGTGGTTTGGGTGTGGCTTGGGCGTGGCCGAGATTTTTTTTCTGGGGCTTGATTTCATTTGTTCCTTCCGAAGTTTAGAGATTAGTTTGTGTGGGCGTAGTTTAGGTGTGGTTTGGGTGTGGCATGGTCATAGTTGAAAAAGATTTTTTTGCTTGGGCTCAATTTCATTTTTTTTCTTTGATGAGGGCAAGGGATCATTGCGATCGGGTGTGGTGTGGGTGTGGCATGGGCGTGGCTGCGATCATATATCAGTCCATAAATGTATCCAAAAGTTCAGGACTTTGTTGGTAGACAATCTTAATTCAAATTTAGGTGACACATTTTAGGCAGAAGTTTTTCTGTAATGTAGGGTCTTCTTTGATTTTCATTCAACTTTGTATGCACTTGTAAAATGTAGCGCATTAGAAACATATTTGTATTTGGTTTGGACATTTATAAATGTACATGTAGTTATTGATAGGCCAGTTGAACAGTAGTGATGAATTTAATCAAAATTTACAAAAAATATATTTTTTTTAAGATTGTGATCTTTGCAATTGAAAATCTTTGCATATACTAGCACATTTAAATGGTTTGTTGTGTATGTGTACAATTAGGTATTGATATGTACATTTTGGCATTTTAAAAATCTCAGTCATGCTGCAGTATGTTCTTCGAACAGAAGAATATTTTCCGAAGTACTTTTTTACAGGTAGAATTTGTAATGTGCCAAAATGCTGAAGCACTCTGGCATGAACACATGCTTTAAGTCTTATTTTGTTAAAATTCTGCCAAACTCGGGGTTTATAATAAAAAGTATCTCAGGGTAATAATTGTGATTTTCCTGAATTATGTACTGCCATATTGGATATTTAATCACAAGTGTTTATATCATATTCATTGTGCTCAAATACAAAGTAGAAATATATTTGCTTAAAATCCCACATAGCTGCAGGTATTTTTTTATAATCGATAGATTTGTGATACATTTTTGTACTCTTAAATTCTAATCATGTTACACTAGGTATGATGAAGTTAGGTTTATAGTTTCAAGCAGAAAGTTTAGAATATTATTAAAACATGGCTTGTGACAGTAACACATTTCAATGATTTTTTAACATCAGTTTGTTTGCGTCTTTCTCCAATGGACGAATCAGTATTGATTAACGGATATTTGTGCCCCCCCCCCCCCAAAAAAAAAACCTTGCAGGGTTGCAGACATCCTTAAAAGGTACAAAGGAGGGCTTTTTTTTTTGGTGGAATAAGACATACAAGTTGAAATTTATTAATAGAAACAAAAACTGTTGAGGACTGGGAATGCAAGGGTCATGAGCTTCGTGCGCCGATGAAAGAGGGCGCCCTTTTACCTAGCAACGACATCCCATGGGTGGGACATTTCGCTGGTTGACGCGCACCGTTCCTTGTGTGTGACGCACGTACACCAGGGGATTTGTACTATGTACACGCAGTGGCCGCGCTTCGCGGCAAATGAATTGCAGTCGGGCAAGATGGCGTCGGTCGGTCACCCCTAACTGTACTCTCTTTGCTGGTGAGGGGGTACTTGTGAACGGAGCGGATAGAGCAGAGTTCTACAAAGTTACGACAAGTGCAATCACCCAGTTTGAAATCATTGTGCAGCTAGGCATATTTTATTTTCTTCAGTTGCAAGGCTAAGGTTGCCTAGACAAGCCAAACCCAAAATTCTCAGTTGATAGTTTTACACTCGATCAGTTGGTCAGTCAGTCTGCAGTGACTCATCGTCACTATTTGAATAAGTGACGCATCCGTCCAAAACCGAGATTTTCTGAAATCTGAGATTTTTGGATATTCTAACATTTTATGATGTCCTCTATATAATAACCAAATTTCGAGACACAACATTCCATCGTTTGTAAATTACGCTAATTGCACAAAGTGTTGAAAGTGCTACACACTAAGTTTTTCGTTTTGACGAAGTGACGAATCTGAATGTGTCACTTAGTCTCATTGAGTTTACACGTGTGCTATATTTAGAAATATGAAGCCTCCACGATTTGCGTTTTGACAAAGCGACGCATCTGCGTTCGAAAATGTATACATTTGATATGCGCGCACGCGCTGTGTACAAACACATGCCTCATTTTTGTTAAGAAGCAGATTTTCCGTTTTGACGAAGTGATGGATATCTTTAGTAATTAATATCTTCTAATTAAACATGATTTGATGAACGGAGAGAATTGTTTTGGGCTATTCAACTCCTGGGCTATTGTCTCAGTTATATATTTTTCAATTCCGGGGGAGAAATGTACACAAAAATGCCAATTGAAAAATCCACCAACTTCAAACGCAATTTTCTCAAAACTCGATTTTGCATCTGTGTGCACAGATGTGTCACTTCGTCAAAACGGTGACGTCATTAAGTCAGCTAGACAGTCTGTCATTATTCGGTTTATAGTCGGTCTGTCAGTTAGGCATGTTGGAGGGGGGGGGGCACTCGGCTAGTCATCAGTCAGTCACTCACTCAGTGATTCGGTCAGTGATTCAATCAGTCGGAGGACAATAGTCTAGCCTTTTGGGTCCCTCAATAACCTTGGTACGGACGCAAGCTGTCGACATAGATCCATTCCATGGCCCTGTATGGGGAGAGTAGTTTGCAGTATTGCATGCCTGCAATGCTCTGGATGGGAAACATTGCAGGAGTGAGTAGGACAACAGATGTGACCTGAAAATACAAACGGAAAAACGAATACACTCACAGTAAAACCATTTTAGCACTTCTACAGGGTGAGTAAAACAAAACAAAACTCAAATGGCAGGACCAATTTTAAATGAAGTTTTACCCGTAGCACTTTCAAAATCTAGGATATAAAAGCCTAATCAATGAGCTTTCTTTTAGTACAAGAATCATTCAAATCACTCATTTACTTTTCAAGTTACGGAATTTTGAACACGAACACCCTTTTCAAAGTTCTGTTTCAGTAACTTGAAAAGTACATGAGTGATTTGAATGATTCTTGTACTAAAAGAAAGCTTAATGACTGGGCTTTCATATCCTAGATTTTGAAAGTGCTACAGGCAAAACTTCATTTAAAATTAGTCCTGCCATTTGAGTTTTGTTTTGTTTTACTCATTCTGTAGAAGTGCTAAGACTGTCACTTCCTACATTTTGAAAGTGCTACAGGCAAAACTTCATTCAAAAATGGGTCCTGCCATTTTTTTTTTTTTACTCACCCTGTTTTACATTGTATTACAAAGTATTACATAATGTTCATTCACTGATGAAACCACATATAACCATGTTTGAATGAGGAATTTGTGGAATATGAATTTTTTGACCGACAAATTTGGTGTAATTAAAAAACAAAGAAAACTCGATTGTTACTGAGCACATGATTTTCACTCGAGCACAGATGGCCTTTAACATTACAGTCAAAAGCAACTCTCTGTGTACGCTCTGTTCGTCATCAGGAGTCTTCTGAGGACGAACAGAGCACACTGTTGGAAACATTGAGTTAAACCAACTGGTTCTTCTCAGAACCACACAACTCACAAAGAGATATGGTGTTACCGCAAACCTCCCATTCATTGATCATGTTCACTATGCAAACCCTTAGGCCAAAAAAAAAAAGTCTCCAGTTTCTGGTATGTGCGCGCATCGCCGTAGCCATGCGCGTCGGCAAAATGAAAAAGTTTTTTTTTCAATAAAAGATGATGTCTCAAAACCGCCAAACTCACTGGTTTGACTGGAATTCTGCTGCTGCACAATTTTAACGTGTTTTTAGATGGGGTTATGATCGAGAATAAGCTTTATGTGGCCTCTCTGGACTCCCATATATTTGCACTAAGTTTAGTCGGGCACCATTTGCAGTCATCAGCCGACATTTGAAGCCAAAAAAAAAAAAAAAAAAAAAACAGGTAAAAAAAAAAAAAAAAGCCGCGTCGCCGCACCACTTTTGGGGCAAGCTCCATACCAGAAACCGGAGACTTTTTTTTTTTGGCCTTAAAGTCTCATTTAATTTTTATATTGAAATACTAGTGATTTCCAATTTTGGAAAATCTTTATTGCTAAAACTTACAACGAGATCGCCAGTTGGCGTGTACGTCAGACGCAACTTCCCGGAAAGCCAACTAGAGCCGGTTAGAGTAAGGATGTCAGAATTGAACTGCATCTGCCTGCCCTGGTTACCATAGCGACTGCGGGCAACGGAGGATGCCTCGCCTAGCGCCCACTTGAGAGCCATCTGTGGGTCAAAGGTGAAAGCAATTTGAAATCTCCTGGGAAACTTTGTTATGTTTTTGAGATATTTAAAAATGTTCTGAAATTCAAAATTAAACTATGTCAGCTAGATTAAATTAAAGGGAATGTACATCATTGGCTTTTGCTGTAGTTTTCAGAAATGAACTATTTGAGGGGCTAGTATAATAGATCAAATATTGCTACACTGACATGTTTGAAGTTTTGTGTTCGAAAATACTGGAAAAACCAAGAAAAACAAAAATGTTCGAGTAGTCTGGTTCCCTGACTCCACTAAAGATGAAATGGATCAATTTATAGATGCCAGAAAATGTAAGGTAAGGGAACCAGTCTAGCTGGCTTGCACCCGTTCGTGAACATGTAACCAATAGCAAGCAAAATTTGGACTGAAAAAATGGTAAATTTGGAGCAGTAGTTGAAAAATAGTTAGGTTTTTCTAACAGTGGTCGGCTGACCACCGTTGGAAATTTATACAAAATACCACTTTTCTTGAAAATGACTTCACACCAGGTGCCATAATTTTACAGGATGCTTTAGACTGTTATTTATGAACATCCTAGTAAAGTATTTTGTAAAATTGTTTAGTTGTGTTTGTCGATGTTTGCAAATGTTGTATATTCCCTTTAAGGAAAATTTAAGAAATGTTTCAAGAACATTTTGGAATGCTGTTGTTTTGTAAAACCTTTGTAAATTTCTTGGCTTCTCTCTCCATATATTTAGAATGAAGAAAATTCCTTATTAAATTCTAAACTGATACCTCAAATTTGCTTTATGAGATGCTCGGAAATCATCCACAGAAATTTTGGAGAATTTTGTTTTTGGAGAATAAAGTTCACCTTTGTTTTTAGCATAATTTTTTCAAAGTCTTATTTCCTCTTTAATACCATGTTAATTTCTTGGCATGACACAGTGTCATTATACCGCTCGCCGCCCAGCACTTCCCGGACCGCCTCCTGTCGCTTCATCTTCCCAGCAATCTCATTGGCCGACTGCTCCACCAATGAGATGTCGGCCAGGTTCCGCGGGAGGTCAGTTTTGGCCCTGGACTTCACCGTCACGACGCCTGTTGCTTCCTTGGTCACAGAGGGCTTGGATTCGGCAAAGCCTAGCAGACCGCTGTAAGCATTGTTCTTGACGATGAGGCGATCGGCAAGATCTTTTGGGACGTTGATGACCATCTCCTGAAAAGTAACAGCGTACTGGTACCATAAACAAATCTCTTACCCTCTTAGCAAGTAGTCAATACTCAGAGCAGTATGTAAACCCTTTAAAACCCTGCAGGTCAGTTTCAGGTGAAGGGATATGAAGTGTTAAAGTAACTGTGTCACACAGAGAGTCACTGCATACAAAACAGCACTGTGGAGAGCAGTGAAGCGTGACTAAATCTGCCTGCTTGCCCTGAGCTTAACCACACCAAAGAATTGTGCAGGGATTTGAAGTGTTATCCATACTCCACAGAAGATTACCTCAAAGCCAAGAAGTTTGAAGTGTGGGCACTAACTCTATGAGCAAAAGTGGTTTTGCAAAACTTGGAAGGGTTGGGAACTGCAGAAGACTAGGAGAGTCAATTAAATTAATAGTTCTATCTGGGTTGACCCATAGTTGCTTTGAATACATTTGGGTTGGCTTGACTCGAATGGCAATGTGCCCTAAACAGTTGGTGCCTATTTTGGTGACTGCTCTATGTTCCGACACCCCTATGTTCCGACAACCTAGATTGTGTTACTCCCGGTTAGGGTTAGGGTTAGGGTTAGGGTTAGGAATAGGAATATGTGCAGTCGGAACATAGGGGTGTCGGAACATAGAGGTGTAACCCCTATTTTAAACCCAATGTCCGAGATGTATGATGCAGTGTGGAAACGTATTGGTTTACCTGTGCGTACAGCACCCACGGTGACATCTCTCCATCCTGCTCCATGCTCTTTGCCTTCATCAAGGGTACCAGCAATTCGCCGGTTCCCTCCAACCCCTTCTCGATCCGGTCCTTCTGATCAGGCAACGCGGCGAAGGTCAGCATGATGAAGTCGGCCGAGGCTTGGCCAATCAGATCGTGCGCTTCGGTGAAGGTGAGGTTCGAGGGAATGTCATTGGCTACGACGTTCGGAGGCATGTCACCGGAGGCAAACTGGCCGTGGTTGACGCCTTCCAGAAGGACGACGGGATAGCGGAATTGGGAGCCGGGATTGGTGGCTTCTAAAGCGTCCATCTCGCTGAAAGGTCACAAAGTGTCACAAGTTGTGTTAATTGTTCTTTAAATTGAATCAGTCAGCAAGCTCAACTTGTGATTGATTTGTAACTGACTTGCAATTGACTTGTGATGACTTATGATGGCTTGTGACAACTTGTGATAAACATGTGATGACTTGTGATTGAATTTGATGACTTGTGTCGACTGGTGGTTGTGATCTAGTTTGTATTGACTTGTGACAGACTTGTGACTGACATTTGATGACTTGCGATGACTTGTGACTGACCTGTGATTTACCTCTGATTGACTTGTGACAGATTTGTGACTGACTTATGATTGATACGTGATGACTTATGATTGATAACTGATGACTTGTCATGTACTTGTTATTGACTTGTGATTATCTCATGTTCGACTCAGATTGACCTGTGATGGCTTGTGATGGCTTGTGATGACTTGTGACTGACCTGTGATTTACCTCAGATTGACTTGTGACAGATTTGTGACTGACTTGTGACAGATTTGTGACTGACTTGTAATTGATTCGTGATGACTTGTCAGTTACTTGTTATTGACTTGCGATTATTTCACGTTGGACTCAGATTGACTTGTGATGGCTTGTGATGGCTTGTGATGGCTTGTGATGGCTTGTGATGGCTTGCGATCACTTGATATACTGCTTTCTCACACATACCTGTACACATCAGCTAGTCTTGTGATGCGCGTCAGCCCGTCCAGGTCTCCAGATAAGTGCATGACGGGTACCGGGTAGTCAGCCAAGACACGGTTGGTTCCCGTCAGGTATGAGCCCCATAGGAGGAGGCCCGAGACCTGGTTGGCATTGGAGGCGACGTAGTCCTGGACAAACGTGCCTGATGAAAAGAGAAGAAACAAGAATTGTTGTATTTAAAGGCATACAATTTCATTTAATTTTCATGCATTTTGTTCATTTCCAATAACAACACCAGAAAGAATATAGTACCTAGATGCCACTTTGGTTATGTACAAAGACTATGGAGAGTTGAGTGCATTTTTAAAGTATTTTTAACAAAATTGGAAATGTTTCTCAGTCCCAGATTAATATCTTTTCAACATTGCTGCAATGACTGACCTTCTTTGAGATGATGTATGATGAAGAAGTGGCGTTGGGAAGCCACATTCTTCCATAACACCACTCAAAATCCAAACAAAGTTTCAGCTCAGTGGATACGCACTTTTTGCAAAAACAGTGAAAAACCATGCAAAACCATTTGATCACGAATCACAATTTCGTCGATTGCACTCTTTATTCCAAAAATAAGTCAATTGATAGATCATTGGAAATCGCCTACATTTCTTGATTTGTTTTGAATGACAGCAAGCCAGATGGAATAATGTCACGGGGCGTAGTTTGTTTCTGCATTCAATAGGGGACGTTAAATAATAGAGGACAATAGGGTCCCCAATTCCCGAGAGGTCCCCAATTTGGCGATGCGTACAAAACATATGGGAGGTCTTCCTAAAAAGTTAAAGTACAAACAAAAGAGGAACAATAGGGGGTCCCCGATTGCAGGCAAATACACACTGGTGTGTCTGTGAGTTTGTTTCTGCATTCAGTAGGGGACGTTGAACAGTAGAGGACAAAAGGGTCCCCAATTCCCGCGAGGTCCCCAATTTTGATTTGTGTACAAAACATATGGCAGGTCTTCCTACAAAGTTTAAGTACAAAGAAAGGGACAATAGGGCCCCCCGATTGCTGGCAAATACACACTTGTGTGGGAGGGTGGTTCACACCCCTCTTAGGCCACTGAGTAATGTTACACATGTACTTGTAAAATGGGGCTAACGGTTACACCTCTATGTTCCGACACCCCTATGTTCCGACTGCACATATTCCTATTCCTAACCCTAACCCTAACCGGGAGTAACACAATCTAGGTTGTCGGAACATAGGGGTGTTGGAACATAGAGCAGTCACCGGGCTAACAATAATTAATGGAATGCCAAACTTCCAAAAGTTATTTACAAAATCGCCTTAGAATGCAGGACAAAGCATTCTAGATTTCAAAATCCCCCCTTCCCTATCAAGGCTTCCCAAATTACAATAACAACATACCTCCGAGGGAGTGCCCTGCCATGAATGTAGGCACTCCGAATCGGCTCATCCCTGCGGCCTTCAAATCGGCCAGCGCCAAGTCAATGGCGTCTGACAGCTGCAAGGGGTTTGGGGTGTCCGCGGCGAAGCCCGCGGTCAGCCCAACCCACAACTCGGCTGGCGTGAACCTCTGTATAGCCTCCGCGACTGGGCGGTACAACTCGCCCGGAATTTCCGCACCGGGGATGATGATGAGACACAACTCGGTTCCCTGCGAAACCGGCGGCAGAACAACGGTTTTCAGTTGCGCTTCTGCGAAGACGGGAAAACATACCAAACCTAACAGCGACGCAAATACGGAAAAGTAACCGTAAGGCGCCATTTTGAAAATAGTTTGTTTAGTATTTCAAAACGAAAAATGGTATATTATATTGGTGGTGACTTCTACACTGCAAGTTATTTAAATTCGGAATGAAAATCTTCAGTTGCTTCACTAAAAGGGGTTTTTCTTTAATCTTAATCCATACACAAAACGGATGCAATCATATTTACTGATAAAGTTAAACATGCTTACATAACATTTTGAGGAACAAACAAACATGTGTGGTTACCTTGGAATAAAACTATGAACAAGAGAAACAGTGCTTACCTTTCATTGCAGTTTTTGTTTTTACATCTTGCAGGCAACTTTGGATGTCGTTACGCTTTTTGGGGGGATAAGGATCTTTCTATAAATTTTGGTCCAACTTTTTTCCTGTCCCAGTTACATCTGACATCTATGATTTTGTCATTCGGATGCACTCCTTAATGCAGTCGTCCTCCAAGAGTGATTATGAATAGCAAACTACCTTCCAAACAATATAAAATAGTTTGAGGTCATTCTTAATGATACTCAAATGGCAAATTACAAAGTACCAAGGTAACAGGAACAGGAAAAATGTCGCATTTTTATGGAACCCTTGAATGTATAGAATGACTCATTACTAGAATGTATTTTTATTTTATGGTCTTCAATCTCAATGTAATAAGATAGATTTCATTGATGCCTCTTAAATATTTTTTGTAATCCTGATAATAATAAGTATAATCATTTTATCTTCTTTGCTTAGCAGTTTAATGATCTATAACCACATTTCTTTTGAGAAAAACTTAATAACAAACAGCTGTACATACCATAATGTTAAGTTACATTCATGACCACGAATTTATTATAGACATGTGTGTGCAAGATAGTACATTATTTTTTTCTTCCGTACTGTACTTCATTAACTCTTTCAGTGCCCGCGAAATTTGAAAAGTTTAACCCTAAAGTGCCCAACTTCGAGCGTTTTTGTTAATTGTTCGAAATTCTGTAAAAAAAAAAAGTAAATAAGTTTTACTCACTTAATTTGTTGTTGTTGCTCTCTGGTATATCCTTGAAATATTGGAAAGTCAAAAGTAGTCACAAACATAGTGATACACCCTGAAACACTGGCCTGAACACAGAAGAATTCTGCACTTTTTGCAGAAAATACGAGATTTAGTGCTGGCCCTCTCGCAAGAACTTGAATGAAAAAATAAATACAGGTCGTACATGCATGAAAATGGTACAATTAGAAAGAGCGAGAGTGCCCCCTTGCGATAACATGCTTGCTCTACCTCGTACATGTACGAAGTTTGGCGATTTTAAGTACGAACATTACCTCGTACATGTACAAGGTTGGCGCTTTTGTCTAACAAATATACCTCGTACATGTACGAGTTTGGCACTGAAAGAGTCAACAGAAACTAGCATTTCCATAATTGATATAATAACAATATTTGTTACAAGTATTTCTCATATTAATTAAAACTAATTTAATAATTTATACATAGATTGGCTGATAAATTCAGCTACGCCATCACGGCAGTCTAAATCAATCAAGTGACTGTTTTTGACGATTAATAATTCCCTTTGTTAATTTGATATAGCCATGCTTTGACAGGAGGTGATTGATATGCCAGCTGTACCTACCAGTTACATCTTTTGTCTGCTGATGGAATTTGACTAGTCACAGTGTTTACACAAATGGGATCTGACTGTTTTTAACTGGTCTGTATACAAATGCATGATAAGTGAAGTGGAAGAAGTTTTTGACTGTCTGTGACTGATCAAACAATAGGAGGGTTCTTATACACTTCTGTGTGCACATGGATTAATCAATAGAATAAGGATTTATAATTAAACGAAATTTAAATTTGATATAAAAATTATATATCTTAACAACTATGCTCAGACCCCCAATATCAGTCCATCTTTTTCATATTTACATCAGGTAAGACAGAAGAAATTGCCTTGAGCGAGTTTGAACCTGCGACCTGTGGATTGCCTTTCCGGTGCTCTACCAACTGAGCTATCTAACCATATATTGGCCACATTTCCATTTTATCAATGCCTTGTTCAGGGGTGCGATTCACACAAAAAATAGTTCTTTCAAATAATCTTTTAACTTAAAACCATAGGCCTACATTGAAGTAAAATTTCAATTAAAATGGATCCCGACAACCCAGCAGTCAAAGGCAATATACAACATTTGCAATCATCAAAAATCAAAAGTACCAAAATATTATGAAATACCTTACTTGACTGTTAGTGAATAATAGTCTCAAGCATCCTGTGAAATCATGGCACCTGGTGTGCTGTCATTTTCAAGAAAAGTGGAATTTTTGTATCAATTTCCAACGATGGTTGGCTGACAATCGTTAGAAAAAAAACTGCCGTAGGGTCAGGTAACCAGACTACAAGAACAGCATTTATGAACACGAAACTGTAAACAGGTCAGTGTATCAACATTTGCTATAAAATACTAACTCCCAAATCCATCCAATTCTTGAAATTACAGCAAAAGTTGTTTATTCCTATAGCTATCCCCAACATGATTTTGCACACCTCTTAGGGGGTTAGGGTTAAGTACAAACATAGCTTTAATAGGGGAAAACACTTTTTTTGGAAAAGCCACTAAACTGCTTGAGGCACCTGGCTAAACCCAACAGAATCCAAAAGATAGAACCCAAGGTCTTTTAGGAGCAAGATGCCTGCCTTGGGCACAGGGGACTCTAGAAAGGGCTGCGACAGAGAGGGCAAGTAGACTGATTGCTGGTGTTGAACCACTTGTACTGTAAAAATAGACAATGAAAATATTTAACAGTATTTTTTTCGTGCTTCAGTAAATCTCCACCTCTTGCACAAAGCTGGTGAAACTCGCCCCATAAAATTTGTCATGCCTTGTTCACAGGATCTGAAATGTTGGTTTAAATCAATTGGTAAACAGCAAAGTTATTTAGGATCAGGTGTTTTTGACACGTAGTGCATGTACCGGTACTTTCATCAAGTCTCAGTTTGGGCCATTCACAATGCAGTGCACCACCAAGAGTTTGCTGTGGGGAGTTCATTTTTTCAAGTTTAAGGTCGACAAAACATGGCCCATTTGAATGAGTGTCAGTAGACAACTTGTGTTAATTTGTTATAAACTGGGGCAAAGCATTCTGCCGCCTTACCAAAAAAAACACCAGTATTGATACAAAGCAAGGAAAGGGGCAAACATACTCAAATCACATGCTAACAAAACTACTGACTGGAAAAACAAAAATTTCATCAAATGTCCCGCGCTGCGAATTAGTTGACCATCTCCCACAAAGCACGGGGAAAAAACGAACTTTCTGTGGCAAACTCTTGGTGGCTCACTGCCGTGTGAATCGCCCAAATTCAAGTCTCAAGTTGTTCATATAAACTGCGATTGAGACCTAACTTTTTGCAAAGGCTTGTGTTCATGGGCAAGACACTTTTACAATTGCCTCTCTCCACCCAGGAGTATAAATGGGTACCTGTGAAGGTAGAGACCAGATTGTGCTGATGCTTGTGTTCTTGGGCAAGACACTTTACTACAATTGCCTCTCTCCACCCAGGAGTATAAATGGGTAACTGTGAAGGTAGAGACCAGATTGTGCTGATGCTTGTGTTCTTAGGCAAGACACTTTACTACAATTGCCTCTCTCCACCCAGGAGTATAAATGGGTAACTGTGAAGGTAGAGACCAGATTGTGCTGATGCTTGTGTTCTTGGGCAAGACATTTTACTACAATTGCCTCTCCACACAGGAGTATAAATGGGTACCTGTGAAGGTAGAGACCAGATTGTGCTGATCTTGAGCTGCTGCAGAAACTGGTCTCATGGCCTGATGAACAGGGGTTGTAATTGTGAAGCGCTTTGAGACCTTTGGTATAAAGCGCTATATAAGCACTATATATTATTATTATTATTATTAAATTCTTCAGCGTTTTCTTGGCAAAACTCACCAGGCAGGCCGAGTGGTAGCGTTTCTTGCAGGTCTTGCACTGCAGCTTGGGCAGCGAGCAGTTGGAGCCGTGGATGACTGAGAAACAGATCATGCAGTCGTCGACGCCCTCAAAGCGCTTGTCCACGTTGCGCTTCCACAGCGTCAGGCCATCCATAATGCTGCCATTCTAATTAGAAAATACACCGAATAAGTAACGGGAACGTGACTGACGTCGGATGTAACACTAATTTGCTACTCTTGTGTAATGTTGTGCAAACCCGATCCGAAACCAACTTCAGGTTGGGTTGGTTTGTCCATCATTTCAATTGGGTCAGGACGGTCACGGTTTCGGTTTTGATTTAGTGATTTTCGGGTCTGATCGGGTCGGTCGGTAAAGCCATTTTGGAAAACTCTGAAAATGTTTGCGTTTATCTCCGGTTTCAGTGGTATGAAACGACTGAGAATATTTCTACTCCCCCTGGATGGGATGCTAGTCCATCGCAGGTTACTCCCCAGCTAATGCTGGTACCCATTTATACTCCTGGGTGGAAAGAGGCAAGTGGGGGTGAAGTGGCTTGCCAAGGACACAACATATGACCAGCAGCTGGATTCGAACCCCTGACTCTCTGATCATGAGTCGCAAACTGTAACCACTAGTCTACACTGTATTATTTACCAGCAAAATGCTACTTTTGAAAATATTGAAAACAAAATTGTAATGTTGCATGAATAGATGTACAAAAGTTGATGACTGACAATTGGTATTTAAAGTAGAGAACCTGATAATGGACCGATCCAGTAAGCTCCACCCAGTGCGCACGGGGGTAAATTAACACGTGCTCCTCTCAAATGCCATGCTGCATTTTCCTTCCGCGCGCATCATACGCGTGTGCACGCATGTCGAGCTTCAGTGCACGCACGTCGGACATAAATCTCGGCTGTGATTGGTCAGAACACCATGGCGCGGTGCTTACTGGATCGGTCCATTGTGCTGTTCTAGCCATTAATTGTAGGATACTACATGTAGGATAGCATGTGCCTGCTCAATCTAAACAAATGACTCGACTCAGGACTCGCACTCGGCCTCGAACCAAGTTACATGTGACTCTAAATAACCCTCAAGTGAACCCTAATGTGATTGTCAAAGTGACATCCTTCTGTACCTGATTTCGCAGGAACGTGGTCAGCTGTAGTGTCCAGTTTCGCCACTGGGTCGTTCCCACCCCGACCTTCTTCTCGCTGTCCACGGCGATAATCCCCAGCGGGTGATTGGCCGGAATGCGGACCGTCAAGTCCATGGTCAGATCCTGCATGGAGTAGGTCGCCACGACCTCGCGGGTGGTGGACCGCGCCTTGACCGTCATGTTCTCGTAGGTCTGGGTGGCCGTCTGCACATCCAGGAGTTCTTGCGCAGAGAGGAGGGGGCTGGCATATTTGGTAGTGAACCTGCACATGACAAAACTATTATTAAACCTCATGCATATTTATGAGCCTCATACATATTTAGTACACTTCATACATATTACATGTTAAAAAAACACACATGTCCTACTTTTGATCTTAAATAACTCTGTTGTTTACCAATGGAATTAAACCAACATTTCAGTAAACAAGGTATGACAAATATTATGGAGCCACTTTCATCAGCTTTACAAAAAATGCCATACGAAAACAAAATACCCGCTTTCAGAATGATACAGTGCTGTGGACAATGACCGAAGGCGCATACTGCAGCCGAAAAGTTCTGAATGAATGTAGGATCACCCCTGATGTCATTGCACAGCTCCTCTATCGTTTGGCGCAACACACGATCGAGGAGGTGTGCAATGACATCAGGGGTGATCCTGCATTCCTTCAGAAGCTTTCGGCAGCAGCACACGCCTTCCGCCACCTTCTCCAGCGCTGTATAGACATTCTGAAAGAGAGTATTTTTTTCGTATAGATTTAAATCTCACTCTCTTGCACAAAGCTGATGAAACTCGCTCCATTGAATTTGTCATGCCTTATTACATGATCCGAAATGTTGGTTTAATTCCGTTGGTAATCAACAGAGTTATTTAACATCAAAAGTAGGACATGTTTTTCGACAAGTAGTAGTTAGTACACTCATACATATTTCTGAGCCAAGTGCACGTCTTTCATTGGTTGATGTTCCAATGCGTCAGGGAAGAAAATTTAGCTATCCCACATGTGCAATAGACATACATGTACTATCACTCAACTGCTCCATAATCAGGCATCTTCTTTGGTTCTCATTTCCAACCAACCTTACTTTGGGCCCCCAATTCAAGGAAAAAACTCATTTTTTTTTTAACATTGCTGACCCTGTCTGGAACCCCCACGAACAAAACAATTAATTCATTAAAAAAAACCCACATTTTCATGCAGTAAGACGCTGTGTTAATTGAAATGCTATGGAAAATAATGTCCAATTTTACTCAAAGCACTGCATACATACATGTAGATGTAGCTATTATAAAAGCAGGGTTGATATATTGTCAATTTAAATTAAAAAAGATGAAAATTTGATGAAACTTGAAAGGTCTGAAAAGATGCACTTCTTTCAATACTGACAATGTCTATCTCGCAGATTCAAAAAGTCTGATTTCAGACAAAAGTCTGGAACATCTTGAGCCTGAATAGTTAAAAAATCAGGCAAATTTGGTTACAAGTTTCATTTTGCCGTTGCTTTGTCAAATTTGCTTCACTTCAATGTAACTTTCTGGTGTAGTACGGACCGACCTATATTATTATTTGTTGATTAAACACAAAACAAATCAATACGGTTTTCTTCAGCACACTGCATCCTGTCAGATCACTGCAAAATTCATTCTGGAACTGTGAACGTGCTAAACATGCCAACAGTAGCATAACCCAAAATTTGTGACATCGATAAAGACGATATATTTGTACTTTCATTCTGATATTCGCCGTCGCCCTTATAACGAATTAGCTTCAGTGTAAAATAACCGGAGAAAAGCATTACCCAACCTTTAGGCTGATGTGATTTAACATGAAATCAACCATTGCATCCCTTTTTTTATTTTACATTTTCTTGTAGAATCCATGCATTACCAGACCAATAGGTCCCTCTGGGGGTAAAGGAAATCAATGTAATCAATTGACGACGGTGCAACCATGTCAGAAAAGGAATATGTAGGTTAACTTTGATGTATTAACGTGTCAGAAACAGGGCTATCAAACTCAAGGTTGATTTGATTGATGTACGTACGCATTGGCCCACGAAGTAGTTAAACGTAATTAAAATAGCTCAAATGGAGGAAAACGTCGGACCTTACTATGACAATGAATGGAGTTCTGTGTTGACTCTTTCTTGTAATTTCAGAAACAAGGTTAACTGACAAGCACGTCTGGTATAACATTCGGAGACAACATCATTGTCTTGTCTCCTGTGTTCTGGTGGTTGAGTTCATGGTAAATTGTGAGGCAGCGCGAGATATTCGGGTATATAAACCTATTCCATGCTCTCAGCATAAGCACACTTGACTGTTTTTCTGTTCTTGAGAAGACTGTATCAGAACCGAATTTTTCATCAAAAGACACGGCAGACTTGCAATTGTGGTCTTAACTTTTGCATGAGTGAGGAGCAGGCTTTCAACATCCAAAGAAAACAGTCGCTACATTCACCGCATTGGGTGAACAGTTCATTAAAAATATGAAGGAGGCGTGCGACCCTCTCTCATTTGCTTTGAGCGAGGAGGGAATTTGTTGATTCAGGAAAAGTCTGGTAATCTGTACTCTAAATAATATGGTAATTAGCTTTTAATGACATTGTAAAAATTGGATGTTTGATGTTGTCACAAAAACAAATGGACGATGAGCAGACGCTGCTTTCAAATTCAAAGCTACAGCGTCAGGCGTGTTTTGGATTAAGAGTGTAAACAGTTGAGATTGCAATTTTATTGGTTGGATGAAAGTGACCCTGTTTGTTTGTCTCTTCAGTAGAGACAGTGACAAAATTGGGTTTGGAGTGAGGGATTGACAGTGACGGTTCTTTGTGTGAAAGCAAGACAAATTCTGGTTTAGTTTCTGTGCACAGAATACAGACACTTTTTGTGGGGCAGTTGCTGCTTTTCACGGCATAACAAAATGAACAATTCATCAGCAGACGCGGAGGGCATGCCGCCATATCTCATCGGCCTCCGAACTTCTTTTATTGTCCTCCTTGCAATGGTGGTAACATTTGGAAACATTCTGTCCATCGCCGTGACGCGCCGCGTGACCACTTTAGCCGACAGCACCAAGGTCCTTATGATGACGCTGGCCGTGTATGATCTAGTCCTGGGCTTGTCCGCGTTTTCAAACGTCGTGGCTTCAGCTCTAGACCGATGGCCGTTCAGCGAATTGGGCTGTCGTATCGTCACCGCTGTGAAGTTCGTATCTTTAGTGATGTCGGTGGTGTCCATGCTTTTGCTCAACATCGAGCGTTTCCTTGCCGTCACCCGACCGTATCGTTTCCCAATCTGGTGCTCCAAGCGTCACGTCATCCAAGTCGTGCTTGTGTCATCGACGCTCACTTTGTCCATCGCCGTGGTAACCTTTCAGACCCCTGCTCAGTATTTTCCGAGCGCCGTCAGCTGTTTCCATGCTCAGAATTCAAACACAGTCAACGTCATGATGCTCATCTTCTTGGACATAATTCCGACTCTGACGATAACGTGTATCTACTGTATTCTCATAAAAATCAGCCATCAGCACAAGCAGCGCATCAACCCAAATGGCGTCAACGCAGCCAACAAAATTCAAGACAACAAGGCATTGAAGACTTTCCTTCTGGTCACCCTCACATTCGCTGGATGCTACACCCCGGCCATGGTGTCCCGTGCCCTCTCAGGTTACGTCAAAGTATCTATCCCGGCCTGGCTTCATTTCATAATGGTCTGGCTGACGACGTGCAACAGCGGCTTCAACGTGTTCATCTACAGTCTCTTCTTTCGGGCTTACCGTCAAATGGCGAAGAAGATTATCACAGACTGGTTTACCTTTCGTTGCAAGACATAACAAGGACACGGTTATGCTTTGACAAATCCACTCACCAAAGTAATTGAGTGAATGGAAGCCCCACCCAGGGTGACCGTTTTAGCCAATTTTCGGCTAACTTTGACAGAATTTTTGTTAAAAAACAAGTTTGACAGAAAATTTGACACAATGGAATTTTTTGGCAGATTTCTGGCAGAATTCTGCAAAAATGGTTATGCAACAGAAAAACAGCAAATTTGAACAAAAAAGTGTACATTTGTTTAAAAAAGCTTCAATCCTTTCACACAAACCCTTGCATAATGTGACAGGTTGGCTGGTCTAGGTGTTGAGGTTCACTGGGAAACGGACTTTGTCGTGGCCGGATCCACGTTTTGCCAGAAATTTACCAATAATATTTCAAAAAATCTTTATGTGACTAGATTGTTTATTATGTAATTGAATCTTAGTTAAGGCAATACTACCAATTTGTATGTGATTTTAAAGTGTTTATAGTGCATTTCGAGTACTTCTTGGGAATTTGGCAGATTTTTGATAAATCTGACAGATTTTTGATGTGCATTTAGCAGAATTTGTCTCTGACCTTAAGGTCATCCTGGCCCCACCCTACGTAGAAAACCTACTACAGTTCCGTACTGTCAGACTGGGCTTGAGGTCATCTGGCAGCCTCCTTTCAATGGACCGATCCAGTAAGCTCCGCCCACTGCGCACGTGGGCAAATTAATAGACCGCTTGCAGACGCGATCGATAATTGACGCGCCAAGCAAGTTGAGCGACGCCATGTTCTGGGACAAAATGTGCGTGGATAGATATACGCCTGTCCCACAACATGGCGTCGCGCGCCTTCGCGCGTCGATCATCGAACGCGTCTGCAAGCGGTCTATACGTGCTCCTCTCCAATGCCACGCTTCTTTTTTTCTTCCACGCGCATCACACGCGCGTGCACGCATGTCGGACTTTTGTGCGCGCATGTCGGACATAAATCACGGCTGTGATTGGTCAGAACACCATGGGTCGGTGCTTACTGGATCGGTCCATTCCCCAAGCTTGTCTCGCCAGTTACGGTGACAGAGCCTTTTCAAATGTTGCACTCGGCTTTGGAACCGTTTGCAATGTGAAATCAGAGACACGAAAACATGACATCTTTCACGCAGAAACTCAAAACACATCTCTTTATGCTGGCTTTTTCCAACAACTGAGATTTTTTTCCTTTACATCTAGACTGGCGCCTTTGAATGGCTTCCAGAGAAAGTGCGCGTTATGAATTTTGTGTTATTATTATTTTTATTATTAAGAACCGTATAAAATAAAAGATGCGAGGATGTTGCCTCTCATCATATCAGCAGGGGTCTACAGTTTACCATTACTGCTATGTCATGGCTGCCACTACAGCTAAAACATCAGTGAGCTGGAAAAAAGCATGCCCTTACCCTAATGTAGATACATAGGCCGTTTGAAATGAACATAAACAAATGCAATGTTTTTTACATATATGTCTCATCTTTCTATGTGTTTGCTTAACATTCCACTTCCATTTTCAATGTAGCATTAAATCATTCACTGAATGTAGTCATTCAGGAAAGCTACCTCTGATTGTTGTCATAAAACGATTACTTCCTTATCTGGATAAGCTTACATAAAGTGAGAAATCTAAGACCTGCAGTGGGTATCATTTTTCATTCGGATGAGTTCAAGTAGACAATGGCTACAATCACTCTTGCATTGTGTGTGTGCATTTTCCTGCAGGTTTCGTCGGCAATGGATTCAGAGTATTTTAACATGAATCCTCATTACCAGAGCGCGGCTGAGGGTGGGACGGCAAGATTCACTTGTCACACCAATTTAAGTGTTGAATGTCCTAAATGTCTGATTTTCTGGGAGAGGAAGCCAGTGGGCGGTGATTACCAATGGATGACCATTGATTTTGAGAAATATTCAGTTCATCTGAATGGCACAAAAGTTGAAATTATAGCAACCAATGCAATCCTAGAAGATGCGAGGGTGTAGCCTCTCATCATATCAGAGGGCTATAGTTTACCTTTACCGTTATGGCATGGCTGCCATTACAGCCAAAACGTTTGCATGGTGCACGTTTAATGGCAACTACATATTGCAAAGATGCCTTTATTATGTTGTTCAGTGACATCTACTAATGCTAATCTCATTAAAAGAAGAGACAATACGCACTTGGCATCATTCAATTTAGCCTTCTTTCTGGTGCAACTGTAATGTTTTTCTTCATATTATATCTGTTGCCAACTGACCGACCCTAAATCAGAGCAAAAATAAATATGAAACCATCAAAATAGAAAGGCATGCCCCTAAAATAAACTGGAAAAACAAACAGTATGAAATATACATCAACAAATGCAATGGCTTTTACATATATGTCATCTCTCCATGTTTTTGCTCAATCTACTTCCATTTTCAATGTAGCAATAAATCATTCACTGACTGTAGTCATTCAGGAAAGCTACCTCTGATTGTTCTCTTAAACAATTACTTCCTTATCATTTTTCATTTGGATGAGTTCATGTCCACAATGGCTGTATACGTAGTCGCTCTTGCATTGTGTGTGTGCATTTTCCTGCAAGTGTCATTGGCATGGGATTCGGAGGATTTCAGCCTGAATCCCCAGTACCAGAGCGTGGGTGAGGGTGGGACGGCCAGATTCACTTGTCGCATCAACTTTAGGGTTAATTGCTCAAAACATACAATTTACTGGAGGAGGAAGCCAATTGCCAGCAATAACTTTACATTACTGGCCCGCTGCTCGGACGTCGTCATTCTATCTGATTTTGAGAAATATTCAGTGTATCTGAATAGCACAAAAGATGGAACAGTCTACACGCTGGTTATTAACAATGCTACATCAGCTGACAGTGGGCAGTACGTCAGCGATATATTTGATGGAACAGAGTTTCTATATTCCAACACCGCAATACTCAATGTGACTGATCATCAACCCATCTGTCAAACACCCCTTAACATATCTATCAGAGTTACCCAAAGCCAAGGACTGGTGGTGGGCGATGAAGGAGAGTTTGGCTGTGATGTTGACCCCCTTCCAAACTCAACTACATTCAGATGGTTCATTAAGGGAGCAGGCAACCAGACTATTTCAATCAACGACACGGACAGATTCACAACTTCAGCCAATGGACTGATCATCTCTCCGCTCTTGGCTTCAGACAACCAACGTCAAATAAGATGCGAAGTTTCTTACTCCAAGGAATGTGAGGAATGGAGTCCTTGGTACCAGCTGAACAATTTCACTCCAAACCAGAGTTCAACCACGAGCAAGTGGAGGCAGCCTCCAGCCAGCCCCGACGCAACTCCAACCCCACACCCATTGCAGACCACCACTGGTCCCGATACGCAGCAGCCCGTGCCACTCTGGGTGATTGTTGGTGCTACCCTTGCCTTGCTGCTCCTCGTAGCTTCCTTTCTTGGTGTCTGCTTCTATCGTCGTAAGCCTAAACCCACACCGCATCAGGCTGACCAAGCCGCACCAACTCTAAGGAGTACCGCCCCTTCGTCGGGCCAGCACCAGCGCCCTGTCCACATGCAGGTCGAGGGAGTTCTCTACGCGATGCCCGAAATACGCCCGAACCAGACGACTGCAAGGTCTGGTTCTTCATCTCCAGGTGCTGGTGGTTTGAGAGGTAACAGACAGAGGAGGCACGAACAAGGAGAAGTTTCCCTCACACGTGTACAGGTTGGTGAAGATCTGTACACTGTGCCGAGTAAGGTGAAATCTCACAGCGTAGAATCATCTGAGGAGCTCTTCAATGACGATAGTGAATCAGATGCCGCTCTTGTGCGATTTCAGGTCGGGGAGGATCTGTACACGGTACCGAACAAACCTTTTCCAGTATGAACATAGGGTATATCTCCAACCCAATTCATCAAGATAAGGTGGCCTAATGACCATCATCCTCATTATCGTAGTCGTAAAGTAAGAAAGGCATGACTTTGGTAATATAACCCAGAAAATATTCCATCAAGTAATGTACTATATCCCACTTTTTTTGTAGGATTACGAAGCTGTTTAATAATCAAACAAGAATTTTGCACAAATCAAAAGAGAATTTTGCTTGCAGTCACTCTGCTGTATGGGGTGAAGCTTCACATCAAAATTACAATAAAAACATGTACATTACATCAAGTTTTGAATTAATTGGGGTTTTAAATTTGTAGAGTATCTCTGCACTTTGAAGTTCCTTGTAAATATGTTTAATCAAAAGTAGATTGCACAGAATCCAACTTGTAGCTATAAGGGAACAATTTCAATGAAAAGTTTGCTTTAAATGCAATGTCTTCAAAAATTGGCTCTTATAAATCTGATATGTGGACTGGCCCCCTCGCTTTCATATCCAAGTACAAAATGATCTTCTTCATTATATTCAAGAGTTTTGTCCGTTGGACTTTTTAAAATAGATATGGAACATTATAGACGTACAAAATCAGTAATCAGAAATATTATAATAATTCTTTAAGGATATGTAAAGACAATAGCCTTGGAAGGAACCTCTGTTTAAAACAAAGTTAATATGTCATTTTGAAAAAGATTTTTGGTTCCCAACCAAGGGAAACCCCCTTTTTTTCTCTTTGGCCTTCAGCCCTTTCTGGAACCCTACTAACAATAAAATTTGTTCACAAACTAAAAAATTCAGGCAATAAGATGCTGTTAAGGCCTCCCCAAAAAAGGCTTAGATTTCTGGTATGCGCGCGCGTCACCGTAGCCATGTGCGTCAGCAAACATTAAAACGTTTTTTTTTTCAATGTAAGATGATGTCTCAAAACTGCAAAACTCACTGGTTTGACTGGAATCCTGCTGCTGCACAATTTTGACGTGTTTTTATATGGGGTTACAATCGAGTATAAGCTTTATGTTGCCTCTCTTGGCAAGTTGGCTCCCATATATTTTGCACTAAATTTATAGTCGGG